TGTATGCTCTTTCCGATATCTACCGTGATGGATCCGGCACAACCACAGTTCCGAGTGCGAAGCAATTGGAGAGCTTTCTTACAAATGGATATATGGTGCAAAGTACCAAATGGACAGACATTCACCTTCTTGCCCAAATACAAGCTGCACTGTACTCTTTACGAATTCTGAAGCAGCTCTTCGATATCGCAGCCCCTGGTGATGATTTGGTTCAATCAAGCTCATTACTTGCGGATTTACCTCCACTACACATACTGATGTCGCGACAGAAAATGATCCAGAGCTTTGCCAACACCCGTGTTGTCCGGCATGCCGTTCGTCAATTGATAGAAACATATGGTTAACAAATATGGACATAAATTGCAAGCCAATGCACTACGTGCTTCACAAATTAAAGACTCGAGCAAATAACTATAATCAGCTAGGGATTCGACATTCATGCGTTTTTGTAGATTACAACGGCATTTGCATTGGTAGTCACTATAGACGGAGAAGACCTAAATGTGCCACTGTATAACCTTGCCTAAGAAGCCCCGGGTCCTTCAAATGATTCATTCCATTTGCACATAGGTTTACAGTACTAGAACCAGCCCTGGGAGGAGCGATGCTGCTGGTTCTCGGCGCAGTTGTTTTGTTTGATTGGATACTGTCGATTGACAGCATAATTTGGTCTTGCGGTCTTGCATGTTGTGGTCGGTTGCTTGCCCGGTGTCTGGAGGCGAAAATTGTGTGTTATTTTACAACTTTCTGGCGAAGAAAGAAACGGATATTTTTGTGGGTATCATGTGGATGGTCGCAGTAGCGACAGATGACTGAGATAAATCGTTCAAGTCGCTCATTTTTCGGGGGCATCGGGAAGTCGTTCAATCACGTATTTGCCGCGAGCGACACTCATGATGGGTGCTCCAGGAATCTTACTATTATGGAGGTTAGAATTTGGCTGGTACAGCGAAAATGGGATCGACTGGTAAGTTACATACCGAATACGTCTCTTGAGATCACGATCGTTTGTGGCGATAATGTAGACACGGTGCTTGATGACACGGTCGACCAGGCAGTCATCGGCATAGGTTCCCTTGTGGTCACACTTGACTCGCTCGAACCGAGGGTCTTTGGCTACACGCAGGGCAAGTCGGTATTTCGGGCCAAGCTTTTCTAACTCGGCAAGTACACAATCTGTGACGATAGGGATACATTTGGCGTACAAGCAATCGAGCATGGTTGGAATGACCTCGAGTTTGTGCTGAATGGTGTGGGAGATGAAATTGGTATCGACCAGGACGGAGTATGGGGGGGCAAGGGCCGTGTTGAACTGGAAGAACATTGACGAAGGAGCCTGGGGACTAAAAGCAAACCTGTCAGTATTGTTCTTGCGAAAGTATCAAATGTTTTACTTACGCCTCTTTGACGAGATCATCCTTCTTGGCCTCTTTGCCTTTCTCTGTCTTGTCTTGGTTTTGCTTCCTATAACCGACTGTTAGCAAGTTGCCACAAGACTGCGTTTCTTGATTGCGACGAACAGGCGATTGTCGCGCATGGAAATGGCTCTTTTGGCCAACGCAAACTTGCGAGTCTTTTTCTGAACACCCATGATGACGAGATGTGGATGGTGATAATAGTGAGGAAGAGGTTTTTTTTTCTCTTTTCTTATCGGGGAAATCTATCTCGGGTTCGGGATGACTAATCATGTCGATGGGGGCATCCCGCTCGTCACCTGCAGGCGCCGCGGACAACCTTGTCTTCAAAATCTCCCTCGTACTCAACAATACACCCTCAAACACCCATTATGTCCAGGCCGGATGCAGACTTTGGCATGGCGAAGGTAAGTCCTCCTACTTCGACCTTCGCAATCAGCATATATTTCCCTATACTATGCTGCTTGGCAACGTTGCCCCTCTTACACTCATCTACCAACTGATCCGAGGTCGGACAGCTAACTCATGATATAGGCACTCGCAGATCTTACAAAGTACATAAACCCACTTATGTCTTACACAAATAAATTCATAAGATTGACATGATATATTTAGGGGTGAAATGACTGCCTCGGCCCTAGAGGATCATCTCAACTCAATTGAGAGCAAAGTTGACGAACTCTTGGCATCTTTCGAAAAGCAGGCTACTGCTGCAGCGGGATCTAGTTCTGTTGATGAAACAGACCAGGGTCAACAGGGCACAGATCAGGCTCAAAAAGTAGAGCCTTCAAATAGTCCACCCAAGTGATACTTGTCATCGGATCCCTTCTCTACAACTCCAACCTCTGTGATAATCCCATCAATCAAACTCGCGGGAGTAATGTCAAATGCCGGATTCCAGACATTGATTCCTGGCGCGGCGATTTTCACGGTCTCAATCGCAATCTGGTCGGTGGTCTCAGAGCCCGCACGGGGACCTTTGATGCTAGTCACCTCAGATGCGGCACGTTGCTCGATGACAATGTCCTTTCCTGATTTTGTGGCCATATCGATGGTTGTGAGTGGCGCTGCAACGAGGAACTTGACACCATGGTACTTTGCCAAGACAGCCAGGGCATATGTACCAATTTTGTTGGCTGTATCACCATTGGCTGCTACCCTATCAGCTCCCACCACAATTGCATTCACGCCCACTTGGGTATCTGCGAGCAAAGCGGCCGCCATAGAATCCGTGATGAGCGTAGCTGGAATTTTATCGTGAACCAACTCGAAGGCTGTAAGGCGAGACCCCTGGTTGTAGGGCCTAGTCTCTGTGCAATAAGCGTGGCGTAGGATGTTCTTCGAGGCGAGCGAACGAACCACACCCAATGCGGTACCATATCCAGAAGTGGCGAGAGAGCTAGTGATTCAGGATTAGTGAGAACATACGACGGATAACGGATAACATAGTGAATCGGCCCTACCCAGTGTTGCAGTGAGTCAACACAGCAACTTCTGAATTTCCTCTGGCCGCATGAGTGGCGATCCATTCTGCGCCATTGTGCCCAATTCTCTTGTTATCCTCGAGGTCCTTTCCCATCATATCCTCTGCCGCCTGAATAAACGCGGCTGCAACTTCTTGGCCGGTAGAGCCCGATGTTTTCGTGCGATTAACCACCACGACCTCCAGCTTACGCGCAGCATCGGCGAGGTTGACGGCAGTTGGGCGACTCGTCACCAGATAAGCAAGCTTCTCTGTGATATATTGGCACACCTCTTCTGGTGATTGTGACAGCTTGTCACTATCCACAGCAGAAGTAAGTTCCGAGGCGAGGGCAAGCATTGCGACGATAGCGATAGCAGGTGCCCCTCGGACTTTCATATCTTTGATTGCGTGCCATCCATCTTCTGTAGTCCGAATGGGAATGTATTCTTCGACGAAGGGGAGTTGTAACTGATCCAGGATCTCAAGGTTGCCCTTGCTGAATTTGATTGCTTGTAACATCTTCGTAGGTGACGGTCAAACGTTCTGAAGACCTGGGTAAGCCGCGAGAAAAGAACCTTAAAAAAGTACCGCGGGGACTTGGGAAAGCTTACTTAATCAAGGCCGCCGCGGGGGTACAATATGGGTACAATATAGGTACAACCTTCCCAGGAACGTAACATCATCGTATGTATGTAGGTAAGGTAATCAAGTCATGGTGTGATCAAATGCCATGTATTACTGTGCGAATGTACTTTGCACCAATTAAAACACAAGCTCAAGGGCACATCGCCGCATCACCAGAGAATATTATCAAGCCGCCTGGGCAAAAACGATGAGCTCATGGTCACAGGTACCAATGTTGAGCTCAATACGAAGCAGGAAAAAAATGTAAACCCGCAGGTACGTAGCCTCCATAGCCCCAGGCTCGCAAGTATGGTCAACTGCATCACAAGAAGAGTTGGTCAATCACCAACTAAGCTTGTATTTTGTCCTCCTAGCTAGAAGATTCCAAATCATTGCGATGGCCCTCAAAGTGCGCCTTTCTTATCCAGCTGTAGGTTGTCGTAGGTGGGCCCAATCGATAATATCGAACAGTGTATTTTTGGATTAACTGGAAGAGATGTAGAGTACTGCAGGCCCTAGTCAGAAAGCTGTCGCGCCAGTCATAGGATTGGAATACAAGAAAGGATTGACAAACCATTATTTCCACGCACGAAAGCGTCCCCGTAGTTTCGTCGCAGTTTTCCGTTCACATATTCCTCCGTCTTTTCGAGGGCGATGTTCATGTAGCCATCAACTGATTGCAATTCACCTATACGGTGCATTAGAAGCGAAGCCACTAGAAATTGAAAGAATATCCCATACCCTTGTATACCACTCCGGAATTCAGTTTCACGATCACAGGCGCACCAATGATCTCACTCAAGAAGACAGAGGGGTCTTTCCCTTCGGAGGTTGGGGCGTTCTCCATATCGATGATGTGGTCTAGAATCCATCTAATATTAGCCAGAGAAAATCTCAAGGGAAAAAAAGGGGAGACATACCAAGTTGAGATGTGTTTTGAAGTAGGCAGAGGGATGAAGCATTCGAAAGTGAGAGACCAGGAAGGCGGTGAGGGCGATGAACTATCGCAAGCGGGGCGAGATCTGCTGATAAGTTTTCGGATGGAATCGGACACCGCCATTATATTCTGCCAGTATTGCCGGTCATAAAATAGTATACATTTTCATAACTTCACGAACAACGTTCAAACCATTGAAATAGTTGAATTTCAAAAGATACAGGTAAGCTATTACTATTTAAATTCAATTGTTAAAAAATCAAGAGGAGAGAGGCCTTATATTATCAAATCTTCCGTTAGACAGAAAGCGCACTAGTGCACCTTTAGTAGGCGGTAGACAGGACGGTGTCCCTTGAGGTCTTGTCTTGAAAGATATGATACATGTTCCCTGTGTCAATTGTTTGGTTTATGCGCAGGCTCTCATGTCGCACATCTTACTTCTCCACTAACATATCGCTGATTATAATCAGGTGCTCTCAAATCACCTCTAAAATCCATCCAGTCACCCTACAATACTTGCATATTTTTGACTTTTAAACCAATCCCGGCATCGAGAGCCATGAGCTTTTTCAAAAAGCCCTCGTGGGCAATCAAGAACACGGAGGAAACTGGCACTGATTTTTATCGACGCTCGGAACAAACATACTCCGATATCATTGCTGCGAACCGTGAAGCACACCACAAGCCGAAATCACCAGAAATCCCAGCACATCCCGAAAATACCAATGATACCAATGATACCGAAGACCCAAAACAAAAGAAGCGGCGTCGAATTTCTAGGGAAAAGGGAAAACAGCGCGATGATAGCAGTCCGGTGCCCGATGTGACCTGTGAGGTTGATAGCGATAAAATTGTGCTACCGGAGCCGCAAGAGCTCTCGGCCTCCTCGCATGATTCCTCACCCGAGCCAGTCAATCCAGTCAAACAACGCGAGACATCACGAAGACTCAGTTCAGAAAACCGTTCGGCGCAGTCACCGCAAAAAGTCAGTGGTCCAGAACCACTAGGTGCTCTGCCAGTTCGACCAGTGATTGTCCTAGCAGATGACTCGGAATCTCGAAGCCCTCGACCTGTTCAGCCTCCTCAGCCTGTTCAGCCTCCTCAGCCTGCTCGGCCTGCTCGGCCGGCAGAACCTCCAGCGGATGACCCGATTGTTCAAATTATGATCTCATCTGAAATTGCGAATACTAAACCATTACTCGTCCATCGAAAAATGTCACAGCGGCTAAGAGATGTGCGGTTGGCATGGTGCGATCGCCAAAATTTCGAACCCAATATACAGGCATCGATATACCTGACCTGGAAGGGCCGACGTCTGTTCGATGTGACAACCTGCAGGAGTCTAAACATAAACACCGGGAAGAGCACTGCAGCGATCCCTGGCATTGACGATGATTCCTTTGCAGACCAGAAAGAGCTGCGCATACATATGGAAGCGGTTACCGACTTACCTCTCCCGGTCAAGCAGCAAATTACTTCTCCTGGTAATGATGAGCCCCCTAGAGCGTCGCAATCCCCGGAAGATGACCAGGGTGAGCCAATGAAACTTATTCTGAGGAGCCCTGGATACGATGACTTCAGAATCAAAGCGAGAAAAACAACCCTGATCTCGCGACTCATATCTGCTTTTCGAGATAAACAGAATATTTCTGTTGACCATGATATCTTTCTCTTGTTTGATGGAGACAAACTTGACCTCGATTCATGTCTTGGCGACAATGACATTGATGATCTAGATCTGCTGGATGTCCAGATCAAATAATCCCAGTCGAAGGATCTGAACAACTGAATTATAGCTAATCAAGGCTAATCGAAGCTAATCAAATCTTCCAGTTTGAACCTAGGAAATTTAAGTAATAAGATAATATGTATACACGATTTCAAAATAAACACCAACTTGTATGGCAGTAGGCCGGGTATCCATATCGATCACATGATATCTGATAAGCCGTGGGGCTCTTTTTTTTTCTCCTTCGGAGGGGCCACCGACGTTGTCCATTATCCTTTGAATTGATATACTGTCTAGACTAATCGATCTCTACATACTTGACCAACATCCTCAGAAACTTCGCGTCGAACAATCTACCAGCAATCACCATCCCAAACCACCCACAATGAAAGTGATCACCGCCAATTTCGTGACATGCGCCGTGAAGGAATGCAAGACATCACCAGCCTCATTTCCTTTACATTTCCAGGATGCCGAGCTAGAGCAACAGGAATTGGACTTCCAGCCCGAATTCATCCGCAACATTCTTCCCCGAATTGACTGGGTAGCCCTGCGCACCATTTCCAACGAGGTATGAAGATCCAAACCGGGCCGACAGTTACCTGGGTATTCAGTATCCACCGATAATTACAATTGGGCTGACTTTTGCAATTTCAGCTTGGATTCCCCAGCCTTCCGGATTCGAAACCCGAGGGCGAGGCTCTCGACAACGAGCAGACATTGAAGGACTTGCACCGGTTGCTACTTGAGACGCACGTCATAGAAGGAAAATTGACCTGTGGAAACTGCGGTCACTCATATATGATTAAGGAAGGAATTGCGAATTTCCTTCTTCCAAGCCACCTTGGTGAGAGATACCGTCTTTCTTTTTTCTTTCCTTGACTTGAGTTTGATTTACTAATATGAGGTCTTTCCAGTCTGAACAACACAATTCCACATGCGATTTTCACCCAAATTGCTTCGCAAATCGATACCCCAGGGCTAGGAACCGATCTTTGAGAACCAGTTTCTCCTCCTTGCCTTTACTTCTCTCCGAAAAAGGACCTTATGCAGTGGCACCAAGGTTATCAGATATCCGAGTCGAGTTCTTCTGGGCCATGACACATCTACGCTCTCACATTGCTTTCTAAGAGGACTTTGCTCCAGGGTCATGACTCGAAAGGGAAAACAGGCGAAATTCTTTTGGAATTGGTATATTGTACAAGAGAGTTTGTAGTTTATGAAATCACGATTGCCATTGATAAATGCGACAATGCTCACACGCTGAAAACGCCAGCCCGATTCAACGCCACCCAGTAGATGGAAGTCAATATGACTCCCATAGACTTTGTAAGAAAGATCTTGGAAAGCGGTTTTAGTTGAGGAATCCCTTGCAGCCTGTTGAACCACAGAGACAGGGGATTCGGTCATCGCTGTCCCACTCTCTTTCGAATTTGTAGTCGTACGTCAGCTCCTCATCTGATGGTTTTGTTAGCATCGGTGTTTTCTCGTAAAGCGAGCGCAGTTCACAAACCTCTTTCGATATCCCTGAGCGCATAAATCACAATACGCTTGCTGCCGTCGACCTTGATGATCTTAGCAGTGCAGTTGGGTGTACAGCTGTGATTGATGAATCGCGCAATTCCTCCTCTCTTTGTGGCATCGATGACGGTGTTCTCGTCGATTCGGAAAAGATAACTGCTGCCGATCCCGCTCTTAAGGTATCGTCTTTCTCTCATATCGGCGACTTGCTGACGCACTTTCTCTCCAACATACTCGATGATCATGTCATTTGCAGTGATGTTTTCCTCGGCATACAAACCCCAGTTGTGAATGGCAGAGCGAGCGAAGCGCACAGGTTTCTTGCGTTTCTTGAGCTGATTGAATCGAAGAACGTCTCCATCGCCGTTCGCAGTGGGAAGGGCCTGCTTTTGCGCATTGATGTCTGCAATGAGCCGGCGGTTGTTGACTCGCGTTGACCGGGATGTCGATTTTGATATTGTTTTAGCAGCTGCAATCCTAGCAGCTTCAGCTGCTGCTGCCTGGGGGTCTGCCTTGGCATTCGCTTCACGCTCCTCGCGAGCCTTTTGAACCTTGATCCGATGGGGCAGGTATTTGGACTTTTCCGCCTCAAGAATCCTTTTCCGGCCTTCCGTTCGTGCAGCTCCAGTAGTATTGGGCACATAATAGCCAGGGATACTGATAGCGTCCTGGGTCGTGCCAGTTTCCAGGCCATTGAGGGCTTTGATCTCCTTCTGTTTCCAACCCCATGCAGCAAGATTTTGGATAATCGATTCTGACTGATCCAGTAGAATTTCTCGTAAAAATCGCAGATCTTCGTCATCCTTGACTAGGTGTTGCCAACCATCCAAATCAAGCACGATGGCTTCATCATCTTCCACTGTGGCACGGGGCTTATCCTTGGAAAAGCCCCATTCGATCTCTGTTTTCGGCTCATCAATAGGTTCAGCGTTCCACGTTTCGTCAACCGAAAGGTCATCACCCTCGAGATGTTTGTGAGAGACGTGCTCGGTGAATTGGTCTGTGGGTTGATCCTGAGTTGGTAACTTGTCGCCATCCTCTGCGAGATCATCGCCAATAGCCACTGGCGTTTCCAGGTCCTTAGTTGCATCCTCATGTCCGGCTGTTTCCGAGTCAATGCCAAATAGCTCATCCTCCTGTCGCTGCCGCTTTCGTGCTTCTTCATCTTCGGTCAGTCGCTTTCTCTTGCCCGACGTGGGAGACACCTGAAGTTCATGAGAAAGGTCGCTGATTTCATTTGTGGCATCCAAATCGTCCACATCTTGAGCGCTGCGCTCTTCGCTCCCTTGAGATGATCCCAGGTCGTCTGACTGATATCCTCCATCCCGTTCGAACTCCGATGACGTTGAACTTGCGCGACTAGGGGGCCGGCTCTCCCGCTCATCGACATCCCTGGTAGCAGGGGTACGCTGCTCGTCATCCGAATCTTCATCGTCGTGCAGCTGTTGTAAGCGGTGATACAGGGGTCGGACTTCTTTCTTTCGTAATGGTTGCCTGCGCCGTTCGTCTAGGAAGGCAGCACCCGCATGGTCAAGACCATGGGCTTTCCGGATACGAGGAAGAGCAAGGACATTCAGACCTGATGATCTAAGGGGGTCTCGGCCAGAGGACATTTCACCTCGAGAGCCAGGGGTGCTGTCGATTTGGAAAACAGACCGTTTTGTACCTTCGGGATCTGAAATACCCAGTCTCTCCCTTTTAGATGCATGTTTACTCGGTTCCAAATAGTCGTAAAGAGCTGGAGCAGCTATGCGTGACTTCACATCCTCGAGAAGTTTGTCCCTCAGGTCGCGGATGATGATGGACAATACCTCTCGGCATGGATCCAAATCAATCGCCCGCTGCTTTTTCTCTTCTTCGATATCCAAGTCAGCCTCTTTCCTTGTCCGATCCTTTTCAGCTTTGTTTCGTTGTTCAGTGCGAAGGCGTTCGGGGCTGGGGCTTCGTTCGTAGTTCGGGTTCCCATAGGGCTGGCTCTCCATATTCATGATATACGTGAACAAGGGCTGCATGTGGCACAGTCGGTAGCAGCGCTCAGTTTCTTCCTCACCCCGGCGCGAGTTTTCGAAAATGATATAGTAACCGGTTTTGTCACAACGAATATACTTGTATGAAAAGAGCCTGAGTCTCTTCCTCAAGTGCGGAACCGTTGTGCTGAGAACCGGGACGTAACAATGCGCGATGAAAATGTATGGATCGCGTTTGATCTGACTCAAGATAGGAGCTTCTTCGACCAATGACTGTACAACAGGCGATCGGACACCTGCCCTAGGACCTTCGGGGATAACGACCCCAGGCCGTAAGGATGACCTGCCCGAGGGACCTTTGGGCGCAGTCGGTGGTGGTTCGCTTTTCTTGATCTGGACATCTGGTCTCGGTTCGGTTGCGGGAGGAAGGGTATTCTTAGAAGCCAGTCGCTGGGACTCGACTGCTTTCGCGGCCATTCGATCTGAGACAACCCCGTCGCGGTCCAGCTCGACCCTAATTCTGCGTGTGCCAATCCGTTGTTCCTTTTTGCACTCGAAGTAGGCGCGTCGGGCAGCGCTAGATGCTGACGCTGGGCCATTTCCCCGGGCCGAGGTGCTATCTTTGTATTTGATGGAGCAGATCCCCAGAAACCGGCCGGTGATAGGGTCTGTGCGGTTCTTTATTTCGGCCACATCTCCAAAGCTCGCGAAAAGCGCGCTGATCGGAGCGATCGGAGTCAAAGGGTCAAACCCTGTCACCACAACCTGTATCGGAGGCCCGGGGCCAATGCTCGTTGCCACATCGTATGACCATGGCTTCAAGTTGTAAGGCGCGGGTCGGTATTTTGTCTTCTGCTTGCAGCCGGATCCACGGGTATAATTGGCAATCGCACGACGCGGATCAGGTGGTGCATCGGCTTGGCCATTATTCACGATGTCCACATACTCGAGCTTTTTCCGCTTTTCCTTTGACGAGGTCCGCTTGTCCAGATCGGGGTCGTACACAACCTTGCAGCCTCTCACACGGAGCTCGAGGTGTCGAGTTTGCGACTGAGGGGTCGGGGGGGTGTGGATTGGAGTGATGGAAGATTTGGTGATTTCAGGGTTCGGCCTGGAAGAAGTACCCGGAGAACCTCCGCCTGCTATCTTTGACTGTGACGGGCTAGTTAATTTGCAAGGGGGTGATGACTCCGCATTGGTGAGCGGTGTCAGTGTATCAATTTGTGATGGGACGGGATTCGCCGTGGGTGGTGGAGGTAGCCCAGATTGATCCTCCACGCTTTTCGCCTCAGCGGAAATGGTCAATTCAAGCTCGTTGGGGACCGATGGAGTGCGAGCGCCCTCCTCGTGTGTATCGGTTTTGAGAGGCGTCTCAACGGTCGTGGGTGTGCTCGGGGCAAGAGACACTGGACAATCCGGGATCCTTTCAGAAATTTGATCACCCTCGACATGTAATTTCCGTCGTTCCTGCGCTGTCTTAAAGCGCTTCTGTTGAAGGACTGATGGGGCGGTGGGGAAGAAGTCTGCAAAGCCAGCCGAGGCGCGTGACATGGTGAAAGGTTGGCTACACGCCAGAGACCGTGGCGCGATCAGAAGGCAGCATCCTTGACAGTGGTGATTCGGCTATAGCGAACACATGCGACCGAGAAGGTCCCGGCACGGCAGAATTGAGGAAATTGAGATGAAGGGACTTATAGAGGAGTGTCGGTGTCAAGGAAGAGATGAGAAAACAGAAGAGATCAGAAGAAAGAGGAGTGAAAAGCGATATCCAGGAGCTGTTGAGTCTGCGGAGGTGCCGTTACGCGCAATTCAAGAGTTTGCAGGAGGCTAAGACGCGATGGAGCGGAAGGAAGTGGAATGGTGGGGACGCGGGAGTTTGAACTTCACGCTTTCAAGGGATATGAACTCCTATAAGGACAGAAAGAAAAGGAATAATGGGGCGAAGTGTGAGCGATTATAATTAGGTGATGAATTTCAAGTTCAAGTTCTCGGGGCTATTCAGTAACATTGAATGATTCAGCAAGGCCTTTTTTTTTTTTTTTTTTTTTTTTTTCTCCCTGAAAGGGACCCCAGTGACCTCACCGGGACCTAATCATTCACCAAAATAACACCTACACTTAAGGTACCTGGTAAGTATCTTCGGCCATTCATTAGGAAATCAGTCCCATCTCGCATTCTTTTATTGCTATTAGAGATTATTGTTGGTAGTAGCCTTGGTGTTCATCTGGTCAATAGGTTATACTAAGAATAAAGCCTAAAATTTATGCATTTAATGGTTGAAAGGTCTGATATATATACACTTGACTACAGCATATAACCATGTCGCTCAGTGTATTCGATTTTAGGACTTTCCTGGGTGCCACTTTATGGTGGTGCTCAGGGTCCTAAGTATTTTAAAAGCAGCCCTGGAGCTCGCTTGATAGAGCGACTACCTAGTCCACGGTTGACCCTTACAGCGGAAGTTCATCTTTAAAGTGATCCATCCTTATTCTGCTTAGTTCCGACTTATTCCTCTTGTTCCCCCTATATCCCTTGATCACTAATCGGATCGAGGGTGCCTAGGTGTTCAGTTTGAGAGGTGTTTATTCATATATATACTCCTTTTACACACCAAATACTTGTAAGATCTCAACCATGACTAGTTAAATCATTTTGTCACGCTAGACCGGTTGGATTAATGTGTAAAATAACTGCTTGCCTAAAAATCAATAGACTAAATTGTCTACCTCATCAAATCACCACTCTTCAAGGAGTAGCACCCCCCAGCATTTCAGTTCGCAAATCTCACTTTTCCGTTTTCCACTCACATTAAACTGCCCCTTTTGACTGGAGTATCCGTTATCCAACGTGTTTGTGTTCAATATTAACAAAACTTTGCGGCTGGTCATTTAGTTCAGCTATTTCAATCTTGCATCCCCTGCGGGATCATTAGGATCAGATGGGAAAGCGATGCAAGCCAAGCATTAGAATCACATTAGCATCATACAAAAAATATCCGCCCTCGATAAGACTAACATACAAGCTAGCAATATCAAATTTAAGGCGGTAGGAGTAGTCTTTTTGAAAGCTCTTTTTTTGAGAAATTCCCCCCGTAAATTAGTATTGTAGCTAGAATACTCCGTATAGACAGTGAAAACAGCTTAAAATGAGCAAACCCATCTTTCAATGTATAACCAGTGAGATAAAAGATATTATTTTTGGACATTAATATATGTGCTTCAATATTCAACGGTTGGCGTTCTTACAATATAACAGAATCAACATTTGCGGACATGATCGTGAGGTCAAAGGTCTCAATTTTGATAATCATCTTGGTCAAGCCAATAATGCACTCGCCGAGCTGTTTGAATCAGGTACTGCTTCCTAATATAGAATAGGAAAGATAACGTACTATGACCAAGGTCAAACAAGTCAACTTTTCTATCAGATGTGCGGTCAAACGACAGGGCTTGTCACTGCGTTGAAAGAGACAGGTTGACCCTAGCCTTACGAGGTATAAAACTGGTAAATAGTGCCGTACCGCACTGGTAAAAATGTGCCAACCTACCGAAAACTACTAGTGATTACTAGTTCTATCTACCCTGCGAGCTTTACCTTGCTACCCTGCAAACTCGGCACCCCCTATCCAGAATTGCAGTATATATTGGCTGGCTGGCTGGCTGGCTGAAAAGGTTGCTGGTTTCACATCAGAGTCCACCTTAGGAATGCAGCTGCGGCTATGCGGTCCGCACCGCGAGTCTGGTAATCACATAGAGTTGTCAACCTCTCCAGTCTCCTCACCCTCCCTAATTCTCCTACAATTATTCTGTTTCCATTCCTGATCTTTTCGAGGGCACCTTACCACTTGAAATCTTTGCTCACTCGCCTTTAATAACGCCTGGTTTCTGTTAAGAAGCCGGTCATTCAGGCCCTCGGTTCTTTTACTAGTATATGTCCAATCTAATCATGTTGACCACATCTTGCCTATTCGACTCTTCAGCACAAAGGTTCGAATTTTGTGAGATCTTTGCTCCTTATTCCAGGTCTGTTTGAGTCCATGCATGTATATTGTTTTAATAAAAACGTCTCATCTAAGTCGATGTTTTCGGACAAGCATGTACAGGGAAAGCGATTTTCATTGCAACTATAATTAGGTGAAATACACGACACGAAACAATCACCAGGAACATAAATCACAACGGTACAGCAATATTCAACAGCAAATATTCAAATAATGACCCCTACTTGAGAAAGACTTGCTCATCGTTTTTGAGAGCCACCAACAACCGGCAAGTTTTCAAAAGTGGCGACTTGCTTCCGGACCTTCACCTTGCCTTTTGGTTTAACTTGGAAATCGACTTTGTTCTCGAAAACCATCACACAGTCAGATCCGCCAAACTGGAAGTATGAAATGTTTTGCCCTTTGTGAACGTGGTCGCCTTTGCTCACGGTCAACACAACCGATGAAACTTGAGCCATTCCGATAGGCAGAATGGCTACCTTGCCATACTTTTTGGTTTGGATCACAATCAATCACCGAGTTTGACACCACTGGTAGCCAGCATCGTCTGGGGCATCGAGGTCCTCGCTCTTGGGGTCTTGAGAGCTGCCAGCTTCACCATCTTCACCTTCAGACTCGTATTGAACACGCACACCTCGTCGGCGCTTGAATTCAGCTGGGGCAAGAACCATAGCACGATCCGCATAGATCCTACCGGTAGCAGTGTTCTTCGTCACCTGCAAATACACCTGGTTTTGGATGACTCTTGCCTCAATAACTTCACCACTCACTGGTGCATGTTGACGATGATAATCAGTGGGTCCCAGGAAAGAGTGGGTGAAGTGGCCCTCATCCCAAATATCTTCCGTGGTCTGCAACAGGTATTTGACGGGCCAGTTGTAATACTTCACGCCCTTGATCTGGAGTTGAATTTTCCCATTCATGATGGGTCAATCTCCAGCATACGTCGATTCAGCGGGCATCGTGATCACATGGTTATCCAAGAGACCATCAATAGGCCGCGTGCTATTGATGTTTTTCCACTCACGCGAAAACCAGTGATTGAAGGATTGCCAACCAGATGCTGGCTTTTCCCAAAACGCCGCTTCTTGGTTGTATTTCGGATTCAGATAGAAGGTGTAGAGCAGCCCTGCAGACTCCTGGATACCCAAGAACTGTCCCTGTTGTCGTGCAAAGCAGACAAGCCAGTATGAAAGCCAGGATAGGTCGTCGTTGGAAGTTTCAGGCGAGATCGGAGTTTGCAACCCGAGAATACTCGGCTGGTCGAAGACCCAGTAGAAGAAGTTATAGATTGGAACTATTCCCCTGCCCTAAACCTACAAGATCTCTAAACCTACAAGATCTCTAAACCTACAAGATCTCTAAACCTACAAGATAGCTTTCTCGGTTTTCTGCCTCATCCTTTCGGATGTTCGACTTTCTTTGCATTCTGGATCCAGAGGCTGGTTGTGGCTGGCTGTGAATTGCTATTTGAACTGGATAAGAGGTAGCATTCTGCTAGCCAATAAAAAAAAGAGAAATATCTCAGACAGGGAGATCGCGAATAATTCCAGCTTTCTTCTGTACAACATACAGGTGGGCATTTCCAGGCGCAGTGGCAAAAAAAAATGGTTACGCATAGCTGATCCTGAGAGACGTACATCTCCTGGGCTATTTGCTTTCACAATAGCAGACTCTTCAAACCATAGGGTAAAGGGCACAAAGGCAGACGTAAGAATTTGAATGTTAACAAATATCAGGGTCTAGAGAGCCTAGCCATTAGCCGTGTTTATTTGGATTGAGCCTCGTAGGGCTTGAAGATAAAGTGCCATATCGAAGTGAAGCGCTAGCAGATCAGACATGAAAATAGTAAGGATATTGCTGCCCGTATCATTGCAGACTAAGATAGGGAGGGTCAAGTTTGCATCACCGCCATACTAAGGGGGTATTCTGATTTGGGTATAGATCTATCTTATGTTAGTTAAGAAGCTCAAGTGATCATCAATATAGCTTAGATTAATATACCTGGTGCATTTGGAACTCATTCGAAAAAGGGAGGGATTCTGACACAGATTAGACCATTTGTTGCGGCTAATAGTAAGAAAAAAACACGATAAATGATTAGCTTGAGCTCTTCATAATATCATATACTCAAGGGCGTCTAGGGGAGGCCCGAGAAGGGTTATATGATATTTGCCTAGTACGTAGTTTGCTGGGTCATCTGCTGGTAGAACAACGTCTTAAAGATATTATTAGTATAAGCCAGAATAACATGGATATTAGATAACATACTTCACACCATCTCAATGCATGAGCCGGCACCGATCTATCTTGCCATGGGTCCTTTTCAACGCGGACTCCATCAACCAGGAAAACAGGGGGATCAGTTCGCTGGCGTGGTCCGAGATCGCCAATCTCGTATAGGGAAATGAGGGCTTCGATGTTCACTCTCTGAGCTTTTCCGAAATCCGTGTCCAGAACTGCTTGCAGTTGTTTCACTCTCTCTTCGGGTTGGAGGATGTACGGGATGGGACACGCGGGGCTGAACTCGGGAAGCGGATTAGACATGTTGACAAGCGCGGGGTGGATGTGGTTGGTGGAAAAGGTGAAATATGTGGAGCGCTAGGTGATGCTCAGTGATGTTCCGGTCGCCATTCCAGGTGACCAGATAGGCGGTAAGGACCGGTATTAACGGTCCTATAAATACCTTCCGAGTCTCCCTTCTATTCTTGTATGTTACATGATATCCAATGCACGCCAAATCTCTATCGGTGTCTAGCCTAGAGCTATTCTGAATTGAAGAGGCGAGTGCATCGATCATTTGGTAGATAGGTTGTTGCATGGTGCCAGAAGTGTTGATAGAGAGTATGTGGCTGACAGAAACAAGATCTATATAACTTCAGGGAGAATCAGCGGCTGGCGTCTTTCAAAGACTCGTAGTATTATGCACCCATAAGAACTTTTGCCGATTATACCAACTATTATTTCCCTAATTCTTCAATAAATTTTATTTTTATTAGTAATTAATAGAATTTAGAAAGTAAATACGAGGAAAGTGCTGAACGAGCGAGCCTATCAGATTGGCCGGCATTCAGCTTTGTGGACCTCAGCTCAGCCCCAAATAGCAGTTGATCTGCCTTTGATATCCCCAGAGTGCTTAGCTACAAAACCAAGTGGAAGTTTAAAATTTAAAACTAAGCGTTCGACCCGGGGGTCTTCGTGCCAACCACACCACGTAAGTGCTCCGTAGGTACTCCGTAGTATCTACGCAAAATCCAGCCAATTCTAAATACTACTTTAGTTGACATGTTTCAAGGCCTACTTCGTGTTCTAATTTCTAATATTAGCCCTAAGCTCTAGTTCTCCAAACTCAGCCGTAACTTTGCACGTCCCTCATCCCCGGTCCCTGTTCTTTTTGGCCCCGAAGCCTGCAGGGTCCACTCTAAACCCTAAGCGGAGATGGCGGCCTATGTTGTAATACAACAATTTTAATTTGCAATTTGAGGGATCAATAGGAGAATTGTGTGTTGTTTTTGATCTGACTACTTTTTGTTTTAAGATTCTCTTTAGATTGTGCTTAGCATATGCTTTTCTTCTGCCGGTATTTACTCGGACTTCTCTATACGTTTCATATAGGATCGATGATCAACTACATCTTAAGATTAGTGAAAGATTTTATCTCCCACTATTCCTGCTGTGATCCAATCACAAAATTGATAGGCATCTCCTTCCGTCTTCTCTGGTCACACTAACCTAGCATCGACAAACCTAACAAGCCGGTGGACCCTTGCGCTGGGACTCATCATTTCTGCTGTTACTAAAAAGCTCAATCCCCTGCAAAATAGGGTAAGTCGTCAAATTTCCTCTACTGTCCTTTTTCGGCATGACACGATGATGCTTCACGATATCAGTCTTATCGGTATAGCTCTGGCCATGGCCTCAATGATATTTATGGCAGCGGCCACAACGCCGCACTCGACAGACATCGAAATTCTCTTCCCGGGCCTGCACGAGATGGACCTGAACAATGTGGAAGGAAGTGTCATGAGTGCCGATGCCATGGCCACCACAATTCAGATTGACTGCCGATCTAGCGCGACCAAGCAATGCACCTCTTCCGGTTATCTCTTGCCCCAGACTCTCACTGCCGGTCCGTCCTTCCAGGACTTCCATTACGATATCACCAGCTTTTGGAACAACACTATCTTTATCGTTACTGGGACTTTAGACTGCAACATGACCGGATCAACGCTCGGTGCCTCTTGTTACTTTTCGACCAGCACATGGGTCTCTAGTGGCACAAAAAATATATCCTCAGTATTTGCCACGACCGCCTCCATATCTTCGGCCAACTTGAAATATAACACCCTGGCGGTGCCATCGGGTTTGGAGAACTTTCCCGTGGAAACTGCTGCCACGAACGCGTCCCCTGGCCATACGGGGACGTCAACATCCAAGCCAACGACAACCGCTGTAACGACCTTAGAACATCACTCGTCCTCGAAGGCCTGGATTGCAGGCCCGGTAATCGGTGCCGTGGCTGGCTTGGCTTTGGCTACGGTAGCGGGATTTTGGTTCATCAGTCGCAGGCATAAGAGCAAGGCAGGTCCTGTGTACTGGGATCCAACACAAGGAATATCAGAAGTCTCAGAGAATCACGCATGTCTACCCGCGCAGAATGCTCCAGTCAGTGAACTTTCGGCGAGGAGTCCACCAGCAGATTTGTCAACTCCGTCCAAACCCCATGAGATGGGGTGACAAACTACTGGTGCTGCATCTGCTGCTTATGTATATATTTGTGATGTGCCGATGTGCCGATGTGTAGTGCAGTGCTAGAAATATATAAGAGATTATTCCGAGGATGACGTGGAAGACATATTGTAACAACAGCGTTTCGATTCTTTTTCAACTTGCCTCCCTAAGTTTTCACTGGTCACTAGCAGATGTACGTTTTCAACGAAAACTTCCCAGTCCACCGTCCTAGTTTTACGCAGAATCTAGTCAACAGTCTTTTTTACACAGGCCAGTTTCCTTCTTCCCTTCAGCTCAGTCACCAACTTCGTAATCCTCATCGGCATCCTGCCAGTGATCTATTCTGTCCTAGGTTCGCGCTTCCACCTCCGCACCTCGACCGAAGATCTCCTCGTCTCGCGTGGCTCTCTCGTGTTTCACATCCTCGGTGCTCTCGCTATTACTTTCCCTTCCAGTCCCTCATTTCTTATGTTCGGTACCTTCATATTCGCTTGCGGCGACGGCCATGTTTCCGCCACACGCTCTCTCCTCACATCATTCATTCATCCGGATCAAGCATCCCGTCTATATGTTGTGCTGGCTATCATGATGACGGTTGGGAGTATGGATTATGGCACCCTTACTGTCGAAGGCCTTTGTATGGGGGTTGGATCTTGGAGGGAATTGGAGAGGAATGGCATTTTTGACTGTTGGTGCTTTGTACTTAGTGCTTGGATCACCATTGTGGATTATTAGGCCACCGGGTCCAGAGGAGGGTATTCATGGCTAATTGAAAACGCAGACAGGAAGTATTTAGAAATGTTTATCTTCCTTGAATGTTAATATCAGACACTAGATAACCAAGAACTGTGCTTAGGAAAGCTTCAGGGCACTATCTCCGAGGCAGTACCACAGCCATGAGTGCATGGCAAAACTTCATGTCGGCTTCGTCGGCCAAGAATGAGTCAGATGCAATATGATGAAAGAATGCTGTCTTGAAGACCTAAATAATCCTAGACTCTTATAGTCAAGAAGGTTCAGTCATGACAAAACATATACTACATGCTCAAATAGCGACGTGTAAATTCTAGTCATCTAAAAGGCGTCAATCGATAAAATTATATCTTATATTTCGCGTCCCAACCACTTTGGCTCTTCACTATTGGCTCCAGTAATGCCTTGTTCATATCTCGTAACGCATATGCCTATTTTCCATATTCCAAAGCAGGAAGGATTGCAGGTATTTCCCCGTCTTCCTCCAGTCGGTGTTTGTTAGGATATGTTTGACCTATAATCGAGACATGTTAGCGCGTTCTACAATGTAGGCGGGGCCTGGTACCATAGATTGGATGATTAAGCTCTCCAGGCTCAAGGATATTCACGGTGTGGTTATCAGCCCATGATTCGAATTTATCCCAATCTACACATTGGCTATAGGCGTGGAAATCCGTCTTTGGAATTCGACTCTCCTTAATCCAGGAATAGGTGACAATAGCTGTGTTTGCACGGCACATGACACTTTGGCGTACGATATCAACACAATGACCTAGCTATAATTTAGCATATATCCAAGCAGGTGGTTCTAAGGGACGAAATTGTACTAATGTGAGCTGGAAGGTCGATTATATCCTGATCAGATAATGAATCTTTATACCTAGGCTGGTTGAGGGCCCAACGGATCCATTTCTGGCAAGGGAACTTAGTATATAACGAACATATAATTGAAGAATTAATAGCACTCACCACACAGTGTAGTTCGTGGTAGACTCCGAGCATACCGAGGTAACCGCCGCTTCCGAGGGGAACCGATGTTTGATTGATGGCGCGCAAGTCCTCTTCACTAAGCCTGACGTGATTCCCTAGGCAAAGTGTCAGTTTTGGATAATACAGTCCCAGTTGATGGAGCATATCTACTTGACGTAAGATCCGTCCATGCCTCATCGGCCTTATCATTGAAGCCTAGATACTTGCTTTGATCGCCACCAGCTGTATCCATTCGCACATTAAGGTACTCGAGGCTATTTCGCGCCGGTGCTATAAGGGGACAAAAGGCAGCATAGCTTCCCGTGAAATAGAAGGGTGTATGCCTCACTGTAAACCAAGCTCTGTGGAGCACATTGTAATTTATCCAGATACAAGTGATGATACAATGCTCCTAGTGTGGCACATACTGCAATCACCACGACGTTCGAGAGAAGGCATTTTTTGTTTCTTTGAAACCATGGGACATTCTGAATAGGTCGAGTCAGATACTCGCTTTCGAAACTGCCCCTTGACGGTTTCTTGAGAAGAAATGGAGATTCTGAGGTCGCTTGTTCCGAATTCATCTTTGTAAAGCAGTCTAATCACTCTCCAGAGGGATAATGCACGTCTAAAACTTTCTGGTTTAGAAATAACTGAACAGTGACCACAGACATGGGGGAAGCGAAAACCCCTGAACGCTCAGTTCGCTTCCATTGCCGGAACAGTTACCATGTTTGGAGGGCTGATAAGAGGTAGGTCAGGATTATCCATGTCTGTGAAATTTTTTGCAGGGTTTTAAGATTATGCGATGTGCTATAAATTATTGGTTGACATCAGTACTTTGCCAATGAATAATTTGAAGGATTTCATCCTGGTTAGTAGACGGAAATATAGGTGTCTCACTACTATACAAACCACCCGAATGTAACCTCAATTAAAAAGGGTAGGGGTCGATGCGTGAACGTATGCAGTGATCACATATGTCGAGTTCAGCGGGTACCTATAGGACAAGTGGCCCGCCACTCAACATGCACGCGCAGGATACTCCGGAGATAACGGCTGGGAGCGTGTCTATGCTTGATTCGCCGGATCTTGTTATGGCCGGGCCGGCGGCCTCCGTCCCGTCCCGTGCCGTCAGCATAAACAATACTAAGCAACACTAAGCCTTCTTGGCACGATTAGGATCGTAACGCTAAAAATAACGATGCTCAAACCTGCTTCTACACACCATTTAGAGAGATTTCTCTCCGGGCCAATTGCCTAGGGTCCAGTGGGTGTGACTGTTATTTCCTCAACGACAGCATGCTGACCTTCAGATCTTTGCCCGGTTTTACCCAGCTGGTTCTAATGAATAAAACCATAATAGATGCAGTTGTCGATCTGAGAGGGCGTATTTACCCTTAAGGAAAGGCTGACTCTGCTATATCCTTTTGTATATTGAACCGGTTCAACTCGGAATTCAGGCACTGTAACACGCCAATACTGACCTTTCACGCTATGGGGCGCTCTCAACAGCGTTCTCCCGGATAGTTCTTCAATCAATCGTGTCAACTGGTTACCTCGCTACTAGCACGTACGGATATCCTGCGATCAGACAGGATTTCTTAGACAGGTAATTCTCTGTTTTACCGTAAATTTGTTGTGTTGTAGAGATAACGAAGGCAAGTCGAACGATACAATAAGAACTCAAATGCAGCTGCTACAAGGACGATGTTATTCCGAAGTAGAAGAAGTCCGTATTCTGCATGTCTTAACGAGAAGAGTAAGAGGTGGATGATGAAAGAGAAGCTCTCGTCTTAATAACAAAGAGTATAGAGCTTCTGTAATTCAACGTTGCAATCAATAAACCTCCATCATGTCCTCATCCATATCACCAGTGGCTCGCTTGTAGACCTCCATCATATACTCATCCATATCACCAGTGGCCCGCTTGTAGACCTCCATCATATCCTCATCCATATCACCAGTGGCCCGCTTGTAGGCCTCCATCATATCCTCGTCCATATCACCGATAGTGCGCATTTTCACATCTCGTACTGCAAGGCTGTTAGAAATTGATATTCTCGGCTGGTATTGCAAGACTTTTTCTTACCTGCATGCTGTCCTGCTGGTGCTGCCAAGATAGCCACGACAAAGGGCAGAAGAGCAATAAGCTTAGCAACAACAACCATTCTGAAAGCGTGAAGGATAAAGCCTGAACTCAGAGATAATATGCAAGGAGCAATTTTCCAAATTTGTAAAAGTAAAAGGTAATTCTGTGCTGATAGAGATCAGAAGGCGACCAAAGAAATGGAAAGGGCTGCTGTATTTATGTGATAAGTTGTCTATCCTAAATGCATGTGTCACTTAAGACCGGCAAGACATGCATTGTCAGAGGTAGAAAGAAAATAGATCGCACGTTATCATAATACGTAGAATAAAATAAAATGCAATACAGCCGAGACCCTTTAGATCATTCTGGCTGGCTGCAGTCTCTACTGGCTAATACCCTTGTATGGAGGTGGAGATTCTCAATAATATGTTTAAGACTTGCCCTAATTTCAGCACGATTTGTCGCCCAAGAGATAAGAAGTGTAATCAGACTAATCCTTCATCTCACATGCAAACAACCGATATCTCCGAAGCAAATTTTCGGTCTTACGTATACATGTATGCAGGCGAGGGAAGTCCCCTCTTCCAGCCTTTGATTTTGATCTGGGTTTAGGCCCCGGTTCCCCTGCTTTTCGACCTCGTAATGCCTTTCCTGCCGCTGCTGCCGCTCCTTCCCTGCTGTCCCTCACAGATAGCCCACATATATACGTGGGATGATGTTACATGATGTGTTAAAAGTCTTGCCTGTTTGAGATATTGTTCCGTAAAGGAGGGGGCAGTACGTAGCAAGGATTTCTATACGCCATGGCGCCGTGCATCTGGTATCCCTTTTTCCACGGTGATAAGCTAGAGCTATTTTGAAAAAGTAAAATGCTTATGCCGGTCAGTTAGCCAGCTATCTATCTGGTAGAATCTCCCCAGAAACAAGGGCTTACAAGATCCCCAGCCCAAATTCATTCCACTTTCTTTTATTTTTTCATCCTTTACAGTGATTCATGTCTAGATGATACACATTGACAATCATGGAATACAGCAAACTCTCTACGTTTGATACTCCCTCTGCACACGCCCAGAAATCATCTTCCGAGGATCCTTCTTTCTCCTCTCAGCCACTTCTCAGCAATGAAGAAGATATGAACCTGGACGTTGATGGCTATTCCCGTCATGATAGACGACAAAGTTTCATTCGTGCAGTTATAATTCACTCACTGATATTTCTAACGTACACCCTTGCATTCGTTGGTCTAAACAGTTCGTTCAGACAAAAGTCATGTCCACCGCAACTCACATATTGTAAGAACCTACATACTCAATTTTCTCCTTTTATTAGACGAGCGCTAATTACGTTGTTTTAGCACCCATTCAAGGCGCCGTATCATACGAAAAGACTTGGTATGACGGTAGTCTTGGTAATCGAAACCGCTACATAGGAGAGCCTCGTCCTGTAAGCACTTTTGACTGGTTTCGATAAATCAGCTTATGACGTGTTGCATTAAGACTGATGCTCTCGATAGGAACTTGAGGAGGCGTGGCATGAGTTGACAGTAAACAACAATCTCAAACTCACCCAATCTGAACTTCAAAAGTTGAACAAGAGCGCTATTGAACTTTCGGATGGTTCTGGTTATTTTGGACAGGTGATGGTCTATCATCATCTGCATTGTTTAGTGAGTTCTTATGATATATTGAATCCCCCAAGCGTACTATTCAAGTATATGGATATCTTTAGCTAAACTTGAATAGAAATTTTTAAGAGAGGCTTTGTACCCCGATGCCTATGAAGGGTCCACGATGGAGCATCTTGGTAAGTCTTAACGGATTACTTTAATAACTGAGCTGCTACTTACTTCTGTGAATAGACCACTGTGTTGATGATATTCGCCAAGCTCTAATGTGCAACCCCGACATCTCAGCTAGCACCTTCTTTTGGGAGGACGGTGTACGGCGCCCTCAGCCAGATTTTACGCTGTATGTATCTTTAGTATTCATTCTGATCTTCACCTGAAAAAATTTGAGCCATGTAATTCAATCAAAACTGGCCTAACATACAACAGGTATAAAACATGCGTCAACTGGGAGCACTTTGATGCCTGGGCAACTGAACGACAATTCTCAATGTTCGATCAGAAATCACTAATCAACCCGGTATACGGTGAGTTTTCGAATACCACTTCTAGTGGATCTCCATTGTATACAGCCACTGAAGAACGTCAACTCCTAGGAATTGCTTTCCCTATGGTCAATGGCTCAATTGAATTCACCCCACCTGGACCTGATATGCACGTTGTGTGGCCAGAGGAAGGTAAGTCAACCTAGATCAAGAGCCGGTTTCAAGCTCAAGTTATCAAGGAGTTTGTGAGAGGTTGTCTCGATGGCCCCTCTAACTTTGGGCAACTTTGATGTGAAGCTATACTGCCACTATATACCTTCCCCTGGAACCCTATGTAGTTGATTCGCTTATTACCTCTTATCCTAAGGTTCGAATACATTGTACGCTGTCTATAAAACTTATAAAGTAATCTAATTGTAAACCTAACAGATCAATGCTTGCTGGTTACGATTAGATGTCATACGGGGAATAGATCTCTCAAAGTACCACGATAAACATTTTTAAGAGCAGCTACAGCGTACAGGACTTCATCGGACACATTAAAAGAACCGGTGATGACACACGTAATTATCTGACAGTCAGACATCTGACAGTCAGGGGGATCCATTGCTATCTTTCTCCTATCTTAGCGCTAAAGTCCCCCCGCACTAATGAGCCCACACCTGCCACCTGCCACTGGAACTTGCGTAGAGAACCTCAAACCTCTCTCCAGTCCTTCCTAGAACCTGTCTCGCTCAAAATTGCAGTTCAATTCGCAAATTGGTTCCATGGCTTCTGCTAGCCCAACGGCGTCAATATCCATCCACAATTATGAGAGCCAGGAGGATTCTTTACCTCTCATCCCCGTAGGCCAGATGCAGGAAGAGCTGCTAGATACCCGTTCGCCGCCAAGTGTTTTTCAAGTACTTGTTCTAGCTAGTGGATTTGGGACGTGAGTTCTCCACTAGGTCGAAAATTGCGGTCCGAATCTAACATCTTAGTAGACTACAGCTTGTGTTTGCTCTCTTGGCCTCATATGGATCGGTAATACAGCCTTCTGGGTTATTTATATCAGCTAACGGTAATACACAGGCACAGCTACTATCCGTTGGAGTCAGCCAAGCGGCAACGGGATTGATCTGGCTATCTGGACCGCTTGCAGGGACTTTTATTCAGCCTTTGATCGGTATAATAAGTGACAAATTTGGTCATCAGAAAATAATTGTCGCTACCGGCGTCATCGGTCTCGTCGTATCGCTTTTGGGGCTTGGCTGGGCTCCAGACCTGAAAGACGAAAAGTGTGAATTAGCTAAGGCTTTGGTGGTCCTATCTATATGCACTCTAAACATTGTTGTGCAGCCAGTTCAGCTCGGTCTACGAATTCTGATCATAGAGGCTTGTCGTTTGGAACAGCAGACTATGGTGTCTGCTTGGGTTGTGCGCATGATCGGAATAGGGAATATTCTAGCACAGCTCGCTGGATCAGTCGATACGACGATATTGCGACCGTTCACGACGGGGAGTCATTTCAAGGATTTGTGTCTGCTGACGTCGATTGGTCTTATTATCACTACTGTTGGTCTGGGGCTGTTTGTCGGGGTTGAGAGGACTCCCAGATCTGTATCCGAGAAACTGAACATCCAGCAAAGCAGATCCGTAGGGCTGTGGAAGGCCATACGGACTGTTTCTCCGGGTGTACTTAGCGTTTGGAAGGTTCAGGTGTTTTCTTGGATGGGTTGGTTCCAATTTCTCTACTATGTTACCATGTGAGTGATCCCTGTTGTCCTCTTGCGAAGGAAACCGGTCGTTCTAAGTAATGGCTTTAGGTACATTGATTATCTTGGTAAGACTCGAGCAGAATTTTAGTGATGGTGCTTCTACTAACTCTAATATACCAGGTTTACATGATCTCCTGCAGGATTCAGCAATAACGGACGAGGAAGCACAACGGTCCATCAAAACGGAGTCTTTACAATTCGGATCCAGAGCAATGCTTCTAAACGCCTGCGTATCGTTCATTTCAAGCATGCTACTTCCCTGGCTATTCAAAGGCAATGGTCCGTCAGATTTAAAGTTCAGCAATCACATAACGCTATCAAATATCTGGATGATATCCCAGGCACTGTTTGGAGCAGGCATGATATGCACTTTGTGGGTAACGTCAGTTGCCGGCGCAACATTCATTATCAGCATTCTTGGCCTCAGCTGGTGCTGCACAGCCTGGATCCCCTATACATTGGTGAGTACGAAACTCTCACAGGAGTCAAGGAACGCCTTACGTCCCCACAATCCAGGTCTTATTATGAGCTTGCATAATGTGTCTATTGCGGCACCGCAAATTCTGGCCGCTTTGATTGCTGGTTCAATTTTCTGGGCTTCTCGGGACGGGGAGAACCAAGCTAGATATGTGCTTGCTGTAGGGGGCGTGTTCGGGCTGGGTGCTGCGTGGATGGCAAAGAATTTAACTATTGAAAAGGAGTTGCATTAGTGGTTTTCGGTTAGCTTTTATAAAGCGTTGTATATAAATCCCATTATTTGTAGAAGGAGGGAGCAGTTAGAACGCCTGTGGCTTTTAATTAATGTTTTCACAGTGCAGTCATGACCTTGCTTGCTATATATATTGGAGTACATGATATTCTGGAACTACTTAGAAAAAGGAAATAACCTAGATATAGATTACCTGGCACAATAAGACAATGCTATTACAAAGACTCCATATGACCTGGCTCAAATCATAACGCAACGCCAACTGCGAGCGGAGCAATTTCATCTGTCAGCACATTCATCACCAAATTCCAATCCTCAGGCTAGGCTGTCCTCTTCTTGACACTTTTCCATCCCAGTCCCCAACTAAATATAAAAGCCGCAACCGCAGTCCCAGCAACCATATAGAAAACATGCTGAACAGCATTATTATAAGCTATAACCACACCCTTTACACTAGAACGCGGGATAACAGATCGTATTCCGGATACACCAGCCGACATAACCTCCGCAACAGGAATCTCTGGTGCATAGATGGGCAGGAGGTTTGTAAGACCGGTATCAAAGACTGTGCTGGCGAAGGAAAGCCACAGTGCTCCACCGAAGTTCTGGCAGAGATAGAGAAAAGACATGCTGACGGCAATTTTGGAGGGAGGAAGATTGTTTTGGACTGCTATGAGGGGCTGGTTGATTTAGAGGTGTTAGTGATATCGGTCAAATAATGGGTGTCGGCCACAGGGTAACTATACCATTTGAAGAGCACAACCGCGTCCTACACCCGCGATTATTTGACACCCGATCCATGTGCCAATGCTTGTATGCGGGGTGAATATACTCATCAATCCAGATCCGACTGCGGATAAGACTGTTCCCGTAACCGCCGAGGGCAGGTAATAACCAAGCCGGGTGACTTTGAACGCGTTAGTTATACACTCATTAGGTATAACAGAATGCCGATACATACCGGCTAAGCCAGATAGAAAGCCAGAGATCATTTGAGCGATGACCCCCGGTAGCATATACACGCCACTAAACATCGGCGATTCGCCGCGCACTCCTTGGAAGTATATAGCCAGGTAGTAAGAAGTAATCAGGCTATTCGCATAAAGGAAGAACATAGTCAACGAAGAGGAATAGATGACCCGCTGTTTAATCATTTTCAAGGGAATCATTGCTCCGTCCGCTTTTTTATATTCCCAAATTAAAAATAAGGCCAGACTGCCAGCCGATCCGCAGAAAAGGCTGATAACCATCGTACTATTCCAAGGATATGTTGATCCGCCCCACTCGAGAGCGAGAAGAAACATAACCAAGGTCGGAGAGAGGAGGAGAAACCCTGTGATGTCGAGATCAGAAAAGAGAGAGGCGAATCTATTTTCTGATCGCTGCTCAGGTCTGTTAAGACTGTGTTGGGGAAATGATATGAAAAGAAGAGCAGCCACTGCCATCCCACCCACGGGGAGATTGATGTAGAAGCCTAGTTTTGTTTTAGTAACTGGGTACACTGTTGTCGGGGGTTCGGGAATCACGCACACCATCTCCATGTCGCATATTCCGTCAATGCACCTCCAATTAATGGCGAGACCACAACGCCTATCTGACCACCTACTAGGATTAGAATGGAAGCGAACGAGGAAATAAAGTAAAACATACATGATCCCACAATTCCGAAGTAAACTAGGTTTCAGGACGGTTAGTAAGATATCAAATGTATCGGGACCAGAACGTAAGCCAGAAGGTAACGCACGAGCTCTCTTTTCAAGAGGTATAGATGCGGACAATATTGTGAGTGCACCGTTCGATACGCCAGAACTCCCCATGCCAGCGATTGCCCTCCCTACTATAAACATATTGGAAGAGGTTGAAACACCGCATACTAACGAGCCAAGCTCGAAAAGGGCGATGAAGGCTATGTATGTGTACTATAATGTTATGAGTTCATGAAGTAGTGAGCAGGCTTATAGCAACTAACCTTGACATCAAATCGGGTATATAACTTGCCTGAAATAGGCTGGAGAGTACAACTTGGAGATAGTGAGCAATCTTCCACTCTTAGTGAAGGAGATGTTGGAGGATAAGTTACTTACCTTGTTAATAAATACGCACTTCCGTACCAACCAACACCCGCAGTAGAGTGAAAGTCGCTCGTGATTTTAGGGATTGCCTTTTTCAAATGTGAGTCCACATAACATACGTAGGTGATTTGACCAGAGGCAACGCGCGCACCGTAGCGATTATTGACATATCAAGCATGATAAGCAAAGCGGTCGCAATAACCGCAAGTATAACCACGGCCAATTTGACTCCGGCGATATATTGGGCTTCGCCTTCATCTTCAGTACCCACAGCATGGTTATCCCGGCTGCTGCTCTCGTTGGGCTGTGAGCTTTTCGCTTCTCTCGAGACATTTGTCTCCCTCATCGAAGCGGGCCTAGAATTCATTCCGCTTGTCTCTTTCTCCACATGCATCGTTTCAGGACAATCGATTGCAATGGTAAAAGTAAAAAGGTGCCTTTGCTGGCTGATGGACTATCGTGGGGTTGAGTAAATAGTTTTAGGCTTGACTGGAGCCTAGAATGGAAAGTGTCGGAAATAATTGATCCGCGCAGCATGGGTGTAGATAGCGGTCAATTAGTGTAAAATTGGCCCATAGTCAACTGACACTTTCACATGTTCCCCTAATAGTCTGGCACTCCCCAGGTCGAGTCTATAGAGATTTTTTGAACTTAGTATACTTAGTCCCTAATTTATTGGATCTGCCCAGGTCTCTGCCCCTAATTAAATTGTACTGATCGCCGAACAGTAAAAAGAAACCAGTGCAGTATATAGCCCTCTCTAGTGACACAGGTTCATCTCTTACTGTCCTATCGATCTACGCTAGCCCACAATGAACGCTTAATGCACCCCCTAATCGATGAGGTGCTTAATATCTACCAATCCGAGTTCTCAAATGTAGTTTTAGTATACCTATATTGTATTTTTCCAACTTCAGCCAAGAAGAATTCAGATTGCAAATACTATTCGTGTTCAAAGACAGTCCGTGAAACAAATCCTGTCATTAAATACAACCCAACGGACGGGATCAATCAAAAGGCCCATCAACAACGTATCGAGGCAATTTTATCAGGCACTGTGCAGTGAAGCTTCGACATCCTGATGCCCCGGTTTTTCTAGCAGTTGGTATCTCTTCTGATCACCTTGTAACCACCCGCACCTTGAATTCCAAGACAAGTCACAGAGCCACCATTAACGCTCGTAACAGTGTTACCTGTGCATCCTCTGTTATCATAGACGCAAAGTTTGAACTGCCCACCCCCGTTGAAAGAATACTGGCTACAGCCATTCGCACTGATGGGCGTGCAGCCTTCTGTGGAAGAACCACCACCACTAGTGTCCCCACTTCCTCTGCACGCCTTGCCAGGGGAGTAACAGTTGAAAGTGTAGCTAGACTGTAGATCGACGACGTTCGTCGTAAGCTCGGGAGGAGCAGGGAGGGCCGACGCTGACACAGATCCGAATAACGTCAGAAGGCCGAAGGCAGCCGTCAAGAATCGGCCAGCATTCGAAACGTGGTGATGACTGGGGGTTCTGAATGCAACCATTGTTCAAAGATCCCGTCAAAGAGGTTGACGTTGTTGTCTGGAGAAGTAAAGGTGATGGTGTCCTCGGTACGATCCGTCTCGGCTAAGTTTGGGTTGATCTTTTGAAGAGTCTCAGTGATGAGGGCAATATCTTCGACAGGAGCAGGGTTCTTCAAGAATCGTAGAAAGATGATCGTCATGATGAGTGAATATTGGGTAGGTCGGAAGATTTATATGTTTTCCTTGTGGTGAAGTCCAGTGTGAAAGCCTGTTGGAGAGAAATGAAGGAAGAAGAGCTTTGTCAGGCAACCCCAGCTTTAGAGAAATATAATTGGTTCGATAAGAGGTGAACAAAAACTGCATCCAGGGAAAATTCTGACATGGTATTATCCCTGTCTCACGTTACATCAGAGGCAAGACAAAGGGGCCAACCCAAGCTAACGAGATTTTGGGAAGTAGGGGTCTCAGAAGAATAGAGATAATATCAGGACCTTAGCTAAGAGCCTTTGCCTCGGAAATAATTTCATGTGTATTGAAAGTCAGCTTGGGCTTCGAATTGTATATACAGCTCTTTGAGACCGTGTGATACTGGAGGTAAAAATATGAAAAACTACAGCCACCGATGGCTCTTAACAATTTCATGCCAACCAGCTATGTGGGAAGGATACAACTGGTTCCTTCCGTCGGGGTTCCCGTAAATTGGCCCTGTTTGCATCTTCCCTTCAATAGAACGAGTACATGGCTCATCTCCCCCCGCATTGAGGAAACAAACAGCTATGATGTATTCCCCAAAACACTAATTTGCACTATGGACTGGTTTTTGATGAAGAACCCTGCGATAGAAGGGAATTTGCAGTCTTTCCTGGGTAATTTGATGGAGTATTTCGGTATTACTGTACACAACTCCAACTTCACCCAGACAGTCATTGATCTGTCAATTCTTGCCTATCTCTGGTGCATTTTTGTCTCATCCCCAAACCAGAACCGGAGAACTGACATTCCACGGTCATTGTGGTTGAATAGTAGAGTGGATTTTCCATTTATTGGTTGTTGAAGGTCAAAACAGATCCTCACAGCTTGGGTGGGTTGCTCGCGTGGTTCTATGAACAGAGCTTGTGCTGTGTCTGATGGCCCTTCAGTGCGGGAATCATTACCATCCAGGTCATTCACTACGCCTTTCCTCCGACCTAGGAGATCATCAGACCGCACGTCAGGCACCATATCCAGGGTACGTGAAGCTCTATCCACAAGAGCTTGGATCTCCTCGACGCAGCGAAGCTGGTATCGCTTGAAAATCATCCGCTGCTGAGGCGTACAACCCGGTGCTTTGCATGCATACCTCAAGAATTCCAAGACTGCATATGAGAGGCGCATTCGAAAGTTGCTTTGGAGAACGTGAACACCGACATAACACGGGTATATGTACTTCGGCCGAGTGTACGGCGTCATTGGTGGATCTACCACATAGCTTGCCAGCGCCTCCTCGTGGGACAAGGGATGGGTTTCCTGCTCCACTTCATCCGTGTCTTGGAGGATAGATGGAGAGTTGGATAGTAGGTCGTCGAGGTCACCTGTATCAACTAAGGTGCGAACGCGGCTGCAGATGCGAGCACAGTGGTGCGAGAAAATACATGCCCGCAGCATTGGATATTCTGACAGTTCGCAATATTTATGGAACTGAACAAACCATGTCAATGCCTCTTTACATTCTTGGCCAGACATAAATGCTTGGGTTTCCTGACATGCTGGCGTTAGCCATGAAGACAATATATGAAAGGCTAACTTACCACGTTAGTAAAGATAATGAGAAAAACATTACGCCCGGTCCGGGTAGTAAACTGTTCCGAGCCACGCAGGCGTATCAACTTTGACAGCACCTGATTATGTATTTGCCATCCAAGAGTCGCGACTGGCTCGGTACCATTCCGTACGCCCAATAGAAGCTTGATTCAAGTGTCAGCAGAGTCGGCAATCGCTAATGACTGTATCGGATCTTACCTCGTATAATCCTAGCAGCCATACGGCTAATAATGTATTGTCACTTTTGCATCGCTGAGGATCCTGGATGGCTGAACGGGTGGCCATGAGCGCAAATCCGTATGCTTTGGCTCGATCCGAGGTTGCCTTCGAGGTCCGGCTAATGTTGACCATATAGGCGCATGCAACGGCATTGCAGGCCTGATACAGAGCAGATTTCTCCTCTGCTTTGAAAAAGACATCGGGGATAGTACTGTAGATGGGTTTGGCCATTTCAAATGAGAGCCTGAACCTTTGTATGACGAAAGGCATAAAGTGGGTAGTCCACGATTCGGTTAGGGGGTACCGTAAGGGGAATATTCGACCAGATAGCAGTGGAAATCCATCAATTCGCTCTGGAAGATGCGTGCTTGGCATTGTTGCTTCATCCAAAGGGTAACCCCCAAATAAAGGAGACAAACTTTTAGGACCAACAAGATCGGACTATTCAGTGTGATTACATCATCCACAGGTCGTTCGTGTGAACTACTCACCTTAATGAGTCGCTGTCGACGCGAATCATTGTCTTGGTATGATCTTAAAACCTCTACAGTAAAAGGCGGGCGAGAATATCCATCACATTTCCGACCTGTTGAGACACATCGCCGACACTGGGGCTTTTCTTCATCGCATTTGACTCTGCGAATTCTGTGGAACAGTCAGCGAGTGCTTCTGCATTGATCTGAAAAAGAGATCTTACTTGCAGGTCATACACCCAGACTTGAGCTTGGGTGCCCACTTCCTCCGACGAGCGGATGACTGCGATTTCTCGAGACTTGTCATCGCGACTCTGTCTAAGGACTCTGTCTAAGGACTCTTAATAGATGACGAGAGGACTCTTGATAGATAACAAGCACTCGATCCAAGCCTCCGGCATGTGGTGGCTGTTTGTGGGGATGCCCTGGAATCAGTGGGAGGTGGTGGGTCATCCATACGAGATCAGCGCTCGGGGGCTAAATGGCGGCTTGTGAGTGGCCTAAACCGTGAAATTGACTCCGCCAGCTATACAACATATTCCAAATCACAGGAAAAAGTTCAGGCTCTCAGCCGCTTGGATCAAAGAGATATAAATTTACGTAAGGCTTGTGTCTTGCGTTATATGTCTCGATATTATAGGACTTCAGGGGAAATCTCGACGCTCGGTCCATTCGGACATCAGTTCCATTAAACATGCATAAGCGGATGGTGATAGAAATATGCAGTACGACAATGTATGAGACCATTCAGTGGTATATAACTCCCTCTAACTAAAATGACCAGAGAATTTCAACGGATGAGCTAACTAAACAACTCTAGTGTTCTATAGAATATGCACTTTCTTATGCGGCTCCCCAATATCACATGATGGGTAAAATATCGTGTATTCAACCATGTATTCAACTATGGTATACGATACATTGTGCTAAGAATTCTAGTTAATTCTCGGTAATTAACATGGAATTAAGGTTTCAACGCTAACCCTAAGCCTTCTGGCTCGGCATGCATTAACTACATATCTACATGGGTACGTACAGGCTATTTTGAAGTTGGGCCTAGTTGATAGGTACATAGTTGCAGTTTCCATGCATCGCTTTTGTCCAGAGAATCACTGTCTAAGAGCGCACTTTATCCCCTCTGCAATTCCAGTCTAAATGAAATCCGGAAGAAACATGATCTCGCTAGATATCATTGATTAAAATCAGCCTGAACTGAGATGCTTTCCTACGAATACAACATAATACATATTTTATGAAGAAACTGTTGAGATCGATATCAAATTGCATCGACGGCGCTAATCTTGATTCCGTAGGAGTTTAAGATTTCTAGCAAGCCAGAGTGCCCTTAGGCATAAAATCTTGAGTAACTACTAATAGAAAGTCGGAACCTTGGAAGCCTGGCTTCCTGTCGCAACCGAATCAACTCTCTACTCTCTTCTGATCCTTACCATGGTAGAGCTCTCAACAAATACGCCTGCTGTTAATCGGGTCTAACTACTGCTGTATCACCCAATCTGGGTGCTCTCATCCTTTCTAGATGAAGCAACACGGACAATGGTCCTATGCCAACTTTGGTACGAACTTTTACCGTATTCGCGTCTAAGTTCAAGAAAGGATGAGTGATATTGTTAATATTGAAAATATCTTGTCGACGACATGCAAAAGCGATCGAGAAGTTTCTCGCTCTCATGTTAATGTAAAATTAGATACAAAGTGTAGATAGAGTAGACCTAAGGATCAAGATTAGAGATTTTCCGCAACAATTTAGAATTATATCATAAATACGAGAACGGTGAAGTAAACGGTGTTATTACTGTAGAATAGTAATAGTAATAAATTTTACATATTTGCCTCCTAGCTACTCCATAGAAGCGAAACAATCAGGATCGACCTTTGTTAAGGGGCGCTTTAGGCCATGTGCAGTGAGAGGTCCAACCATGGACGGGTCCACGGGTGGAATGAGGCCTACGTAATTATGGAGGTATGAGCCCATCGCCCCGGGGAGTGGACCCATGGACAGGTACAATGCTTATGTAACACTCGGGGGCGTGCTCAGTTTTACTCAGTGAGCAAAGGCGGCAAGGGATGGGCACTAAATGGGACAGGGAAAGCCATCTCGCGCCTGAAATCCGGTTTATATGTGGCATATATTTATGTGCAGTTCAGATAAGTACAGAGTAGACAACTAGTTTGGCCCTGGGGAGCATATTTGAGCTTACTGGTTATAGTACAGCCCTTCCCCTGCCTCTTTCTCTTTGTCGATTGAAGGGCGGTATGAGGCTGATATACGGAGTACAGAGTATAATATACGGAGATAGATTAACCTCCATATATCTCAGCTTATCCACATCATAGGTAACCTATGACGAGGCGTACGATAAGGTAGCATAGTGGGTATTCCCTCTCAGCCTCCGTACTCCGTACTTTGTGTATGAATGACATGCAAAGAGAAAATATATTCCGGTTAATTGCGGACCAATAGTGTATGCAGTCGGTGATACCGAGTCCAGGGGTATCGTAAAATAGTTAAATGGCCAAAATAGCAACTGCAGAGGCGTGGAACGTCTATCGAAACTTTTTCCAAGGTTCCTTTATTTTTTCAGGGGATCTTCTTACTAAGGAATGTGCCGGGCCACTAAGGGATATAATTATAGATTTTTTCCCCGTATGTTTTTTTTTGGGACTTCTCTCTAAAAGCTCCGCCACTTTTTTTTTTCTCTCGCCTGGTAGCTCCGATTTAGCGTGGATATATTGGGCCAAGACAGTAAATCTGGCGAAGATCAAACTAATAGAGGAGTCACTGGGTAACTTCAGTACCTGGTTGCCCAGGTGCTGTAGCTGCCAAGAAAATAAAGAAAACAGAGAAAATCAACTGTACTGTTTGTTTACTCCATAATAGTCTTTGACACTAAGGTCAATACTATTCACTACAAGCATTCTAGTCTAAATTTTATTTATTTATATCTTCATTTCTGATGTAAAGTAAGAATTACGTATAGTATGATAGAATATAATAAGTGTGCCAAGTGAGACATACGATTCCCCTGGGAACCAAAACTGGTCCGAGCACTCCCCTCATTGGACCAAAGCTTGCGCAAAGTGAAAGAGCTAATAATAATCCGCCCCTCCCCCTACCTTCTCTGTTCTTGCCCCCCCCTCTATAAATACGAAACACCTGTACCTTTCTTGCCTCTTTCTATCTTTTCTCCTCTCTCCGCTGCTTTCGTTTTAATCATCTTATTCTCCTCTTTACAATCTTTACTCTTTCAATACCATTGTCTTTGCATTCACTTTTCTTTTTTGCCCATCATGTGGTAAGCTCTTGTCTACAGTCCTCAATGGTGGTAAATACTCACAGTCTGCCCTAGTGGAATTTTCGGCTACATCAACTACCTCGTGGAGAAGGACCGCAGGTTCATCATTGACACACTGCTTAATGGTAAGTGACCAAAAATTATCCCAATGATTTTAACCTTTTGCTCACCGTTATTTCCCCAGGCCTCTCCCGATTGGAGTACCGTGGCTACGACTCGGCTGGTATGGCCGTGGATGGCAACAAGAAGAATGAAGTCTGCGCATTCAAGGAAGTTGGCAAGGTGGCCAAGTTGAAGGAACTCATCGATAACAGCACATATGACATGAGCAAGACCTTTGAGTCCCATGCCGGTATCTCTCACACCCGTTGGGCTACTCACGGTACCCCCTCCCGCACCAACTGCCACCCCCACCGGTAAGTCCCCCAAAGTCGACAGAAAAAAAATCAGCCCCGGATCATCGAGAGCTTGAGAAGCTAATTGGACTCTTGTTAAATAGTTCCGACCCCGATTGGGAGTTCGCCGTGGTTCACAATGGTATCATCACCAACTATAAGGAATTGAAGGCTCTGCTTGAGTCCAAGGGCTTCCGCTTCGAGACCGAGACCGATACCGAGTGCATCGCCAAACTCGCCAAGTACCTATACGACCAACACCCCGACATCGAATTCACAGTCCTGGCCAAGGCGGTCATCAAAGAGCTTGAGGGTGCCTTTGGTTTGCTCCTCAAGTCCGTCCACTACCCCCATGAGGTCATTGCGGCCCGTAAGGGTTCCCCTCTGGTCATCGGTGTGAAGACCTCCAAGAAGATGAAGGTGGATTTCGTGGATGTTGAATATTCGGAAGATGGTGTCCTTTCCGCGGAGCAGGCCTCCCAGAATGCGGCAGCCAAGAAGTCTGCCACCAGTCTCCTTGCACCTCCCGACAAGTCTCTCTTGCACCGCTCCCAGTCCCGGGCATTCCTATCCGACGATGGCATCCCCCAGCCCGTCGAGTTCTTCCTATCTTCTGACCCATCTGCTATCGTGGAGCACACCAAGAAGGTGCTCTACCTGGAGGATGACGATATCGCCCACATCCACGAGGGACAGCTTAACATCCACCGTCTGACCAAGGATGATGGAACCTCCAACGTCCGTGCCATCCAGACCATCGAACTCGAGTTGCAGGAGATTATGAAGGGCAAGTTCGATCACTTCATGCAGAAGGAGATCTTCGAGCAGCCCGAGTCTGTCGTTAACACTATGAGAGGTCGTCTGGATGTGGCTAACAAGAAGGTCACCCTCGGTGGTCTCCGTCAGTACATCTCGACTATCCGTCGCTGCCGCCGAATCATCTTCATTGCCTGTGGTACTAGCTACCACTCATGTATGGCTGTGCGTGGTATCTTCGAAGAGCTCACTGAGATTCCTATCGCAGTCGAGCTCGCCTCCGACTTCCTTGACCGACAGGCCCCAGTGTTCCGTGATGACACCTGTGTGTTTGTCTCTCAGTCTGGAGAGACCGCTGATTCCCTAATGGCTCTTCGCTACTGTCTGGAACGTGGCGCCCTGACCGTTGGTTGTGTCAACGTTGTCGGATCTTCCATCTCTCTCCTCACCCACTGCGGTGTGCACATTAACGCTGGTCCTGAGATCGGTGTGGCCTCTACCAAGGCATACACCTCTCAGTTTGTGGCTATGGTTATGTTCGCTTTGTCACTGAGTGAGGATCGTGCCTCGAAGCAGGAGAGACGCGAGGAGATCATGGAGGGTCTTGGGCAGATCTCCGAGCAGTTCAAGCAGATCTTGAAGCTCGACGAGCCCATCAAGGAGCTCTGCGCCAAGTTCTTCAAGGACCAGAAGAGCTTGCTGCTGTTGGGCCGTGGAGCTCAATTCCCCACTGCCCTTGAGGGTGCCTTGAAAATTAAGGAAATCTCATACCTCCACTGCGAAGCCGTCATGTCGGGCGAATTGAAGCACGGTGTTTTGGCTCTTGTTGACGAGAACCTTCCCATTATTATGATTCTCACCCGTGACAACCTGTTCACCAAGTCTTTGAACGCCTACCAGCAGGTCATTGCTCGTGGCGGTCGCCCTATTGTTATCTGCAACCAGGATGACCCCGAGTTCTCGTCCGCCCTGACCGAGAAGATCAACGTGCCTAAGACCGTGGATTGTCTTCAGGGTCTGCTCAATGTTATCCCATTGCAGCTTATCTCTTACTGGCTTGCCGTTGGCGAGGGACTGAATGTCGATTTCCCTCGTAACCTGGCCAAGTCGGTCACTGTCGAGTAAATGTTTCTTTAGGGCAAGGTTAGACGATTGTTACGATCCGGTCATCTTTTTATCTTTAGGTGTTTTCTGCTTCGGGACAATGGAATCTCGTTTTGTTTTTTTATTATCACCTTTTTCTAGGCCCATTGGCCTATTCGTACAACATAGTGTTTGCCGTAAAGAATCCGTGTTCAGCCTACATAAAATTCCATTGTGCCAATTGCGCTCAATTGCCGTGGGTGATGACATTCCGCCTCCCCCCGCCAAATGCGGGACCGAGGGATTTCGCCCCTCGAGCTCTTCTGATTCATAAACACTTGTGTCAACCTCAATTCTCCCAATTCCCAAGGAACCAACATCTTTTTTCTTTCTTTGAACTAACCATCCCTCTCAAAAAATGACTACTATCAAAGGCCCCGGCGCTGCCCAGACCCACGATGGTAAATGCGAACAACAGCCCTTGGAGAGACCCCCCAGCTAATACCGATTTTACAACAGGCTCTGGACTCCGCGTTGCGATTGTGCACGCCAGATGGAACACAGTGATTATCGAACAATTGGTATCAGGAGCAAAGAAGAACCTGCTCGCAGCTGGTGTTCTGGAGGAGAACATCACAGTGCAGACAGTTCCCGGCAGCTACGAGCTGCCCCTCGCTGTGCAACGGTGAGTGCGGGGATGATATCATACAATATCCATATCACATATTATATACTGTATAATTTATTAGTATAATAGCTTTAACTAACACTACTTTCCAGCCTCTACGCCGCCTCCCAGCTCCAGGCCAACTCCTCCGTTCAAGGCATCAGCGCCACTGACCTCCTGTCATCGCCCACTGCGGAAGTGTCCGGCTCTGGCCACTCTATAAGCCCCAAGAAGCCCTTCGATGCTATTATCGCCATCGGCGTTCTCATCAAGGGAGCTACAATGCACTTTGAATATATCGCCGACGCTGTCAGCCACGGGCTCATGCGCGTCCAGCTTGATTCCGGTGTCCCTGTCATCTTTGGCTTGCTTACCGTTCTCACGGAAGAGCAGGGATTAGAACGCGCCGGTCTTGGAAAGAGTGGTATGCACAACCACGGTGAGGACTGGGGAAGTGCTGCTGTGGAGTTGGGTCTCAAGCGGAGGGAGTGGGCTGAGGGCAAGATTTTGTAATTCTTGCGATAGCTTAGTATCTTTTGAGAGTTGAGGGCTACGATGGAACCCTCTAACATATGTGATGTGGATTTTTGGAACTTAAATACCTTAAACAACTTGGTCCTTCGTGATAGATTGTTTTTCGTGGGAGTAAGAAAGGAGACACCTTCACAGAACCATAATTCTTTGGGAGCATAATCTATTACATGTTCACTCTTCCATCTGTTCGCCTTGACCCTTGTCCTCCTCTTCTTCATCGTCCCCTTCCAGAGCCCGCTTTGCTGCTTTCTCTGCTTCCTCGAGGAGCTCCTTGGGAACCTCCTCATGGCGACCCTTGGTCGGTCCATCGACCGAGCTGATCCACGTCATCTCGAGCTCGAAGTCCTTATCCTTGCTGTCCTCGTGGGCAACATAGATGATGCGGGCAGCTTCCTTCACACCATCTGCCAATGACAGAGTGCCCGAGGTCAGGTCCAGTTTCTCGAGTTCGGCTTTGGCGGCTTGTCGTCCCTTGCCAGTAGCAGCACCGTAGTATCCCTATCAATTATTGTCAGCAAATTCAATCACATACACGCTCAAACAAGTCTCAACATACCCAATACAGTCCACTGGGCTCAATCATGTATAGACCAGGGCCTCCGGCCTTGGCACCCTCGACCTTTCCACCGGAGCCAGACTTAGGTCCATCGCCAACCTGTCCATCAACTGGAAGCTCCGCCTCGGTATCCCACCCGCCAACAATAGCAGTTACACCAAAGGGCCGTACACTAGAGTAGAGCGTGTACGCCTGCACATACCCACCCAAGCGATTGGCCAATGCAGAGGTCGGGATGGGACCTTTGTATGTGCCTCTCCAGGAGGAAGCCTCATCTCTAGCTCTGGAAACAAAGTGACGACCATCGGGGACGAGTCCAGCGGATACCTGCATTGGTAGAAAGAAGCCAGATTAGTGACGGGGTATTTCAAAGCATTCCCTAAATAGCATGGTGTCGATGAAAACGCATTTGGGCAGAGGCGATATGACAATAGGAAAATGGGGTCTCACAATTCCGACATGGCGATCGACTGTTGCGATTCTCTTGTTCGCGCCTGGCTTTAGGAGCTTGCTCGTGATGATCTTCTCCACTGCCAACACTACACCATCCTTGCATCTAATACCGACGGCGGTGCCTCCGTTCTCGACTGCCTTGACGGCATACTCGACCTAGATGGTATAGTCAGCAGCGTGAAGCTGGGTGCTTGTGGCTCTTTGAGCTGGGTTGTGTTTGGTTACCTGGAAATTCCGGCCGTCTGGCGAGAACACCGAGTTGGAGAGATCGTAGCCTGTGCCGATTGACGTCTAGATAACCACCCGGTTAGCTTGATTGAGATACAATATAGAAGATTGTGTAGATCTGAAGCTGACTGACCATGATTTTGGTGATAATGCGATGCGGTGAGGTTTAAGAAACAACGGACGTCACCGTGGGTAGGCCGGGCGATCGAGAGAGTTAATCTGTATATTGGACAGATAAGGGAGGAGAATGGTCGGTTTGGAGGGTGACTATGGATAGGTAGGGTGAGGTTGGAAGCTCTGGGGATGATAACGGAGGTTCCTAGGCACTAAGCAGTGACGCTGTCGCGTCACGGGGTTGCCTGAGAGCTTCCAGTCACATGACCCTGAGATACCTAATTGGTACTTTGGTTTGTATGTCTTCTCTACAAGCTTTGTAGGTACTATTTGAGTACCCTGTAGTATTGTGTATATCATGGATACAACATGGAAACACTATAACCATATATTGGGTTCATTATGGGTATATTGTAGACATAACATGCAGTATAACATTTAGACATCTCCTAGTGGCCCCCCTTCGGACTGCAGCCCAACCGAACAAGCACTTGGGCATCTTTGCCCCTCGACCTAAACAAAAGACAGATCTCTCTAAATTCTTTCTTGTATTCAGTTTTAGGCAACAAAAATTTGAATCGAGTTCCGACATCTTCCCATTCATTCGGATATTGTTGAACTATACAGAAATCCACCCCGCAATGTCTTCCTCGATCCTACATCAGTGCCCGCACTGTGGGCATGCCTCCGATATCTCGAATTCACTCGCCGCCTTTATCGAGAACCCTCACTGTACACAGGTAGATTCTTCTCGTTCTTGCCTTCTTATGCCAAGGAACCTGACCAGGAGGATGTATATATATAGTGCGGGATGTCTGCTTCCGAAAGCAACTCGAAAGTGCAAGACGAACTTTCAGCTCTGTTTGATAGACAAATGAGTATGACGCAACTGCATCCTGCCCCTAGAGAAACCATCGTTCCATCCCAAGCGCCAGAAATTGCATACAGCATTACCCAGCACTACCACCACTCAGCCCACAGAGTCGCCCAGCATACAGAGCAACCTTCAAGCATTGATATTCTGAGACATCACGGTCTTGACCCAAATGCTTTTACCCAAGATCAGCTTGCACTCTTCCAAAACGCCGATGCAGAACAGAGAGAACGGTTGATCCAGATGTGGCAGCTCTACTCGCAGGTTGGAAATGAAGCCAATGCCTCTGCTGGGGACTTTGCTATGCACGATTCTGCCATGGACGACAGTGCAGATGGAAATTCCTACGCTGATGCTGAGCCGTACATGGTATCTGGTTATGAGAACATTGCCAATCAAGCTTCTCATCTCCCGAAAGAGCCCACCACTGGTGAAGCCTATGTTGGCTCAAAAGACCCGGTGTATCAAGGCCAGCAATGGTGGGAGCTGACAAAAGCTGGTCCGATGGAATCAACTTACGGTGCGTTTGAAGAGATGAGACGATATTACCCTAGCTGTGGTGTGTACCACCATTAGTTCTGTCATAAATAGTTCTAGTGAAACGAATCCCTTTTGTACATATTTTTATATCATTGTTGTTCTTCCCACCCCTTCGCTTCTATATACCCCGGCTAGTATAAAAGGAAGCATGCCAACTAGGTCTTAAAGCTCCCTCTCTAGCCTAAGGAATATCTAAAGAAGCGCTCTGAATCTAAAGCTGAATTTAGCAGCCACCTGAGCTGCCCGGAACATCTTGTCTTCTAGGATTCTGAATTGAAATGGGGTGTGAAAAGGAGATGGAATTCTTTGATTCTAGATACATGTTTCTTTGGGTAATGATCCATCAACCCCCACAATTCAAATGCCGATTTAATCAGAAACCAACGCCATGACCAACGGTGAAGATAAAAGAGTGTTCGCCATTGGCATTTTCATAACGCATAAACCAATCCATCACATGCCAACTGGGCTTCCATAAGTGCTTTCATATCGAAAGAAGTAGTCGATGGTGTCGTGCATATCGGTAATTGAAAAGAGATTATCGAGGAATCTCTATCGATAAATGCAGCACCACGGAATTCAAAGCAAAGGAGACACTGGAAAAAGTCAGTCAATTGAGTCCATGGATAGGATAAATGAAACTATAGCGTACCTTTACTCGTCATCCTCTTCCTCGAGAGCAGCCATGGCATAAGCGAGAGCATCACTGGTACGCTTGACCTCCTCAGCGGCATCGGCGGCACGCTTGGCCTTGTAGCAGCCCTGGCCAATGTGACCACACCACTTCTGAAGGACAAGGGGCAAGTTCTTGGCCATTGCCTCGGCGAGAGCATCAGCAGAGCGCTTGACATCGACGGAGGCCTCGGCAGTTCGCTTGCAGCCCTGGCCAATGTGGCCACACCACTTGGGGAGAGTTGTGCTGGGACCACCAGGAGTAGCGGCGGCCTGGACGGTGCCAGCGGCGAGAACAACGGCGACAGCGACAGAGGTGAACTTCATCTTGATGGTTGAAGGAGAAACCGGGGGTTTGTAATTGGCAAGTTGGTTTGAAGAGCGAAGGACAGATACTGAGAAAGCTCGATGATGGAGATGTCTGGATAAAAGAAATTCGAGAAGACGAACGGCAACGAGGTTTATATGTTCGTGAAGATCAGGTACCATCGCTGGTTCAATAGTCTCGTTATTGAGAAGAGCATGTTGGGCATGGGTTTCGAAGAACTCGATACTCTGAATAGAGGCATGTTCCTCAATAGAGTCCTTTGTAGACGGACATCAGCCCGAATAGATGTACTGTTCGAGATCGCCCATTCTGAATAGGGTTCTTATTGACAGGTCTCGGCTAGCCACTCAAATAATGAATTCAGGTCTCGTATAAAGAGGATCTAGGGCAAGCCATGATCTCGAATGCTTTGACAGACAGACACGCTAATAAGCCAAGTGAATTAATCTAGAGCATATTAGTTAAGATCGTAGATATCTTTTGTTCGAGTTGACCAGTGACCTCAGGTGTGTGACATTCGAGGACCAGAAGAGGATATGAATAAGAATCGGCGAAAGAACATTGAGTTTCGGGTGGGTTAATCAATAAGGATGTAGATTTATTGTTTCATTGTTTGTTGTAGAGAGGTCCTGGGGGAGTTGATCCTTTTGAGATAAGATCGGGCCGGCGCTAACCACAAGTTGCTGGATGCCGAGCCCATCCGGAGCCTTTTTTTCCCGTTTTCATTCCCTTTTCCAACCCCCTCTCCTTTGGTGATTTGAGATTCCGTCCCAATTTCTTTGTTTAACCCTCAATCATTCCAAAATGTTCTCTAGAACGGCACAGCCTGCCCGGGTATGTTTTCCACCATTTTTGCTTTTTCCGTGTTTCCGTGTGTCCGCGATTGCAATCCTTTTCAAGGCAGTTGGGGGCGGCTTTGGCTAACCTGTCCTTGCTGTCTATAGACTCTGATCCGCAGTGCCTCCGCAGCTTCGTCTCTCGGTCGCTCTGTTCCCGCTAGAAGTACGCCCATTGATCTTCTCTGACGTACCTCGAAATCCCCACTAACGAGTTTGCGCAGCCTTCGCCAGTCTTCAGTCGGACATCTTCAAGCCCACCAAGTATGGTGGCAAGTACACCGTGACCCTCATCCCTGGTATGCCACACACATTTCGCGCATTCTCTGCTTGCATGGCGCATGCTCTGGACTAACACTCGATAAGGTGACGGTATCGGTGCTGAGGTCGCCGAGTCGGTCAAGACCATCTTCAAGGCCGACAACGTTCCCATTGAGTGGGAGCAGGTCGATGTTAGCGGTGTTGACGCCGGTAACAAGCACTCCGAGGAGCTTTTCCGCGAGTCTCTGGCTTCCCTTAAGCGCAACAAGCTCGGTCTGAAGGGTATCCTCCACACTCCTATTGAGCGCTCGGGCCACCAGTCATTCAACGTTGCCCTGCGTCAGGAGCTGGACATCTATGCCTCCATCTCTCTGATCAAGAACATCCCCGGTTACGAGACTCGCCACAAGAATGTCGACCTCTGCATTATCCGTGAGAACACCGAGGGAGAGTACTCCGGCCTCGAGCACCAGTCCGTCAACGGTGTTGTTGAGTCCCTCAAGATCATCACCCGCGCCAAGTCCGAGCGTATCGCCAAGTTCGCTTTCAGCTTCGCCCTTGCCAACAACCGCAAGAAGGTTACCTGCATTCACAAGGCCAACATCATGAAGCTGGCCGATGGTCTCTTCCGCAGCACATTCCACAAGGTCGCTGAGGACTACCCCACCCTGGAGGTGAACGACATGATTGTGGACAACGCTTCCATGCAGGCTGTGTCCCGCCCCCAGCAGTTCGATGTTATGGTCATGCCTAACCTTTACGGTGGTATTCTGTCCAACATCGCCGCCGCCCTCGTTGGTGGACCTGGTCTTGTCCCCGGTGCCAACATGGGCCGTGATGTTGCTCTCTTCGAGCCTGGCTGCCGTCACGTCGGTCTTGACATCAAGGGCAAGGATCAGGCCAACCCCAGTGCCATGATTCTGTCTGGTTCCATGCTTCTGCGCCACCTTGGTCTCGATGATCACGCCAACCGCATTTCCAAGGCTGTCTACGATGTTATCGGTGAAGGGTGAGCGAACCAATACCCAATAATACCCTTTTGAAAAATTACGATGCTGACTTTGTTCTTCTAGGCGCACTATGACCCGCGATATGGGTGGTCAGGCTACCACTCACGAGTTCACCCGGGCTGTTCTGGACAAGATGGAGGCGTCTCTGTAAATTTTGGAATCCCGCGCGCTCCAATATACCTACCGCTACGATTGAGGATGCTGCCCGCTGATTCTTGGAATGTGTTTTGCACACCGTGAATTGGCCGGTGTGGTCCTCATTTGATGTATTATCTTTCCTTTCAATTTAGCTCGAAACGTTCCCAGGCAAGTTATAGCAATAGACAATTTTTCTTTTGTGATCATAACATGGACATTCATTGCATTAATATTTGGGTATAAACATCAAAGAAGGCCATGAATCTTCAATGGGCCAACTTCATATCACGGTGCCCAGAAGGTAAAGAGCTCAACCTCCAAACCTCCAACCCGTTGCGAGGCCTCTAGCAGACACCTCACCTCACATTCGACTAACTTGACCAGAGTCGAATATGTATGTAGGTAAACCCCATGAGCATCCCTCGACAATACTATGTACTCAAATTCCGATTCAGGCGTGTGGATAACGCCCAAGGGAATGCGCATACACAGATAGAATGGGTGAAAGTTATGTACTTGAGGGGGAATGATTTGAACGCTCTTTCCATCCAGGCTTTTTCTCCTTTTTCTCCCCTTTCTTCTCTTTTTGATTGAATCCACGAAAGACGCCCAGCGGTGCCCGTAAACAAAAGCAGTTCAATCAGAAAGCGATTCGTCGTTTCCGGCCAGTGTATTTCGAGCTAGCCTTGACGACCTTGCCCTTCTTGGCCATCTGCTCCTTTTTGTTCATAATCCAAGCCTTGTCACCCTTCCTGGGTGGTCCACGAGCATTATTGATCTCCGTAGCCTTCCGTCTCGCATCCAGGACATTAACATCATCCATGCCATTCACAACACCAGTAATATCACCGGTCAAACCACCACCACCAACAGTCAGAACAAGATACAACTTGCTGCTCTTAGTGCCGGGATCATCTTCCAGGATACCCGCACCAAAGCCAGCTTTGATTGCAGCTCCACTGATCATGCTCCGTTGGACATCGTTTTTCGGGTAGAACTGGCAAACCGCACGTCCACCCCGACGAAGACTGGCATACAGACCCTCGAAGAAGCGTCGCAGACGACCTTCAGGACTGACATCGCTGGATTCCGCATTGCACAGCCACTGGATGGCACTAATGCTGATTGCGGCGTCAAATGTACCGGGTCGGAAGGGAACGCCCTGTCCGATGTCTGCGAGGAATAGGTCGCCTTCCACTTCGCGTTGTAAAGCCACGTCCAACATGCTAGGGGAAATATCCATCCCGACCCATGTGTGCGGGCCGCCTTCTTCGGGGGACACTTCGGAGAGCATTTCGCCTGAGAGACCGGAGCCGCAGCCCAGATCGAGGATGAAGGAGGGAGATTTTAGGTCGAGGAGTTCAAGTGCGCGACTCGTCATGCTGGCTTGAATGTTGCGGATTCGCGAGGACTTCGTATACTTTCGCGATTCATTGTCATTGTAGAACAAGTCCGGAGGGCTGGAGTTTTGCAGATGTGGGATTAGTTTTTTTTTATTCTTCAAGATCTGTGAAGTAGGGTTAGACGGTCATACAGGATATCTTCAGGGCGCGACATGGTGTGTGGTATTGAATGTGCAAGTTGCGTTGTAAGTTGAAGTTTAGAAATTCATTAAATTATTTTTGGTGGTGCTGCCTGAGGCATCCGTACCCCAAAACGTCCACGTTTCTCCGATTGCATCTCGAATCTCTCTGAGGCCGATTGCCTCCTGCATTACTTTTCAACTCTGTCACCGTTCGACAGCTCTATATTTTACTGAGCATCATGTGGATTCTACCGCTAGTCGGATATCTCGGGGTGGTTGTCGGGTTTGCCTTTCTCACCTTAGCCATAGGTATGGAGCTACATGGAATCCTAACAACAATGGAGAAGCTGACCTTTGAAACTCCAGCTTCGGGACTCTACTATTTATCCGAGCTTGTGGAAGAACACACGGTTCTTGCACGCCGGGTGTTGAGCCGTCTGATCTACGGCATCATCGCGATTCAAGTTCTGCTCATGATAATTGACCGTTTCCCCGTGTCATTGTGTCTGCTGAGCATTGGTTCCCACGTGGTCTACGCCAGCAATCTGCGCCGATTCCCCGTCGTGAAACTGTCCGACCCTCTTTTCCTCCTCTCCTGCCTTCTAGTCGGTCTCAACCACTGGCTATGGTTCCGCCACTTCTCGAAGCCTTTGCCTCCGTCGAACAACTGGCGTCAACCCTATGGAGTTAATTACGATGAAATGCCTTCTTTCTCCGAAGTGGCTTCGTACTTTGGGTTGTGCGTGTGGCTCGTTCCATTCGCTCTGTTTGTTAGTCTGAGCGCGGGGGAGAACGTGTTACCAAGCATGGGCTCTGAGTATGCCACCGGGGCCAAACCCACTGGCCTAGGTCCCTCTGATGGCAAATCCAAGAACAAGGGAATGGCCAAGGCCTTGGTAGATGGTGTCCGAGATTGGACAAGCGAGACCGGTGAAGTGATGGGTCTCTGGAGAGGAGAACGTACGAAACGATTCTGAGTGAGCGAGGCCACAGGAATTGATGTTACGTATAAATGAAATGAAATTTGTATTCCGCCATCACAAATCGTATAAATTGTAAAAAATAAATCGGCAAATCATGCCAGCCTCCATATCGCGTAACCGTGGACCAAATTTCCAGATAAATAAGAGCAGATAATAATGTATGGACATCAAGCCATAGTGGAAACGCTGAAATAGGGGGGAAAGAAATGAAAGGGCAAAAAAGTAGGAGAAAATGAAGAGAAGAAAAAAAAGAAGGGGGTATAACGACGGCCAAAGTTGCTAACTATGGCATGGGAAATCTTAACTCCAAGATGGATAACCCATCAAATTTGGTGTGTAACCGCATCTCGATTACCATTATCATTAGAACATTCCCTCACGACTTTGATGGCTGAGATTGCCAAGTGGGTTAAGTCATCATTCCGCAGTCGTGCAAGTCGTAATTTTTCCGGATAAGAGCGGCATGGCCACTCGGACAGTCCAAGATCAAAAGGGCGTAGAAAAAGAAAAGAACAGTGAAAAGCGAATCATAATTCACTTGCCCTGGTAGAAGGAAGTATCTTCATGGTATAGATTAGTAAAGGCCATGAGGATTGTCTCGTGCTTGGGTCTTACCATCCATAAAGAGCATGGAACTCTCCCGTCGTTTCGACTTTGCCGAGCGAGTGTCTTCCGAGTCAGGCCCCAACATGCCATTTAAAGAAGAATACGAAGTGCCGGCACCGGGAGGTTGGTTGTACTGCTCATGTCTGGATGTCGGTTGGTCATAGCTAGGTTGCACCGGGGTGAAGCCAGTGTCGTAGTGTGTTCTGGGGCCATCGGAAGGACCGTTCGCATCACCAGCGGTGCGGAACGAAGTTTGCTGGTACGAAGGTGTAGGGAGATCCGAGAACATTTGGTGGCGTGGGGAACGAATATCATCAGGTGAGAGAGTGTTTTCGACTGTCAGTTCTGTACCCGACTTGGCAAAGCTCGAATCAGTATCGCCAAAGATACTGTCGTAGTCCGTGAGGAACATCGAGAAGACCGGCGCCGGGATATTGAGAGTCGGGGCAAAGACAATGCCCACATTCCTGACCGTCATCTTGTTCACATCGGAATTGTTCACAATCTCGATTAAGAACTGTGATAGAGCCCGTAGCAAGGCTAGATTGGGCCTAGGCAATCTATGCACTAGAGAGTTGAAGGCAGCGACCTTCTTTTGGCGATCGTCAAGTTCTGTTCAGTTAGGTCAGTAGGAGAAAAGAACACAACACCGGATGTGTACATACCGAGAACGCGAAGGAAGTCTAAATGAAGCTCTCGGGTCAAGACTGTCGTCGGGAGCTCTCGAAGGTATTGCTTGAAGAGAGAAGCCACAGCATGAATGTCGTAATACTGATCTCCAGACACGAAATCAACATCACCTTCAGTGTTGAAGCGTTCTTTCAAGGCTTTGATCACCACATTGGAGCCGCTTAGACGGAATATTCCTTCCTCCAAGGCTGCTTCCTTGGCATGGAGATATTCAATGCAGCGATAAACCACTGCTGGTAGCTCCACATCAATTCCGGGCGGTCCACAATCTTGTACGGCCTCTGCCAAGGGTATACCGAATACAGGTCTAACAGGACCTGTCCGCTCAACATTGTTGCCTGCTACTAATGTATCGCTGCTGGCCTGGGCGGCAAGATCGAAAGAGGACCTGGTGCGGAAACCCCAGATACTGCGTTTCTTCTCTTTCGTCGATGTCTTTGCTTTGTTGCCCCAGGCTTCCACGTCCTGGATGACTGTGCCGTTCGTGGGCCTAGATATCAGTCTGGGAGACTGCATTGTGTGATCGGGAGAAGACATGTTCATCTCCCTGAATTCTGTTGACAAAGCCGCCGGGGGTCGTGGGGACCGAGGAGCTTGTTCAAGAGTGGAACCAATAGTCGGAGGATCAGCTTGCACTGCATCCTCAAAGCTGAAACCTTGGACAGAGCTTCCTAGATCCTGGTCAGGGCTATCAACTCCTCGGCCGGATCTCTTGCTTCCATTGAAAATTTTAGACTTGGACTCGGTTCCGGAGAGTAGTTGCTTTTGGGATTCATCTTGAGACGGAGGCTGACTTTTGGAGGATACGCTGCCACGTCCCTCATTCTCGGAGGAAGCATTTTCAACATATTCCATGAGAGCATCGACCCATGTATCGCGCTCCTCGTCGCTCTCGGCGCAAAGAACATGCCGAACGAGTGCCGAAGAATCCTTTTTCTTCGGTTCCAGAACCAAAAATGCATGGCGATACTGGTTGTCAGAGTCTTCCTCGCCCCCAGGAGGTGAAGCACTCTCGGTGGATTTTGGTGATTGCTTGCCGATCTGGGCATGATGAAGTTTGATAGTACCCATGTGTGGGCCACCCGGGGATTCGTAGTATCTCAGGTCAGGTCCATCGAGAACAAAGTATCTCGCTTTCCAGCCACCAAAGTTCTTGCCCCGTTTAGTCAAGTAACCTTCCTTTTGAGGCTTTCCGTCTGGTCCACGTGGCATATCGGGTCTTGTCTGGGCGAGACCCTTCAGGAGACTTGTCTCGTCGTCTCGTGGCTCAATAGCATCACTTGTCAAAAATTGACAGATAGCTAGGGCAGCATTCTCATCCATTGGGGTATCCAAAAGTCTGTCGAAGTACGCATTTAGAGCGGCACGTCTCAAATCAACCTTAGCAGGGGAGTGTCCGCTGAATATACTTCTATCCGGTAATTTGCCGGCGAATGGAGAGGATTGTCGGACTTTCTGATCCAGTTGTGGCAAAGCACCGATGACCTTTTCAACTCGCCATAGCTCTGACATCTCTGACCGCAGGATCACACTGAGAGTAAAGACAGGCTCCTCATCCAGGGGCCTGGACACCATATAGCTGTTCCTGGAGGGACGAAGCCGAGACGAAGATACTTTAACTTGAACCAGAGGAAGGGCATTCGGAGGCAAAAGCAGGCCTTGATATTCATCAGACATCAATCCTCGGTGAATTTGATTGTCGGGGAAATGTGCAGATCTCGGGCTATCAATCATGACTGTGGGATCAATTGATGGGATAGGACGTCCAGAAGGGATGGGAGCAAAGCCCGTGGGGTGATTGGCCATTCTTGGCGAGAGCGGCAACCCTGGCGTCTGATACCCGGCTGCCATAGAAGCAGACATGTCTCGTGGCATGCGAGGCATGGGTGAATTGATAGGTCGATCTTCTGGTCTCGGGCTTAAAGGCAGTCCAGGGCTCATGGGCATGGCGGCGATAGAGCGCCCATTAAAGGACGAAGCGGGAGGCGGCCGAGAGCCCAAAAGCGACCCCAATGAGTTAGAATCCCCCACATTCGGCGGTGATCTCGTAGAAAGCTCCCTAGGAACCGTTCCCGGGCTACATGTAGCTGTATCCCGGGAGCTATGAGAGGACGATGCCTGAGCGGGGCCCGCAGGACCGGTAGCCTCAAACATATCCTTTTGTAGCGCAGCTTCGCGGTCCTGGTCGTCCTGCTCTCTCGTCTTTCTTCGCCCACGGCCCTCATTCGGAATCCCATTTATATCCTGGTCGTCACCGTAATCGGAACCGGAATCTGAATCTGAAGCTGAAGATGCCCTGTTATTGTCTGCTTGTTGTAGATTCAAAGGTGCAGGGGGTGGTTTGCGATTTGGGTGCGGAAACCTGCTCATTCCGTCTCCTACCGGGGATGGAAGATCTGTAGCAGAGACTGGGCTTGTGGTATTTTCGAAGCCCCGCTGAGAGGCTTCAGATGGTGGGACAATCGATGGTTGGTCGGGTTTCCGCGACAAATTCTCCTTGTCGCTGCTCGGTACAGCCACGGGGGCTAAGGGCGCAACGGGCAATGGCGGAGCGTCTTGTATATCTTTAAGCTTCTTCCGATATTTATCCTTTTCTTGGAAAGCACGCTCTAAATCCTTGTTAAGACCGAGGATTAAGGTCCTTTGTTTGTCAACCAATTTCCAAAGTTGCGCGTTCTGAGAGGCCGCTTGGTGTTTCTCTTTCAAGAGGTGCACGATCACAGCCTCGGCAGATCCAGCGGCATTGATGAGGTTGTTAATGTCGGCTGAACTCAGAGCATTGACGTCAAAGGCCGATCTCTGAGAGCTGGAGGACAGGGATGAAATAGCAGAGTCAATCGATGAGGTCCGAGGCATGGCACGATTGGGTGCGCGATCTCCCGGCATCGAGTGTATAGAGCTGACGGAGGAAGAGGCAGATCGATCGGGGCCCGGCGCGCGGGTTGGGTTCGGCCTACTGCTCTCACCAGGTCGACCGCTTACATTCCCCGATCCTGTTCCTACCATTTCTGGTGATTGCGACAGACCCTGACTAGTGCTAAAGGGTGGCGCAGGGTATTGTGCATTGGCCACACGAGTGATTGGCGACCGATTCTGGGAGGGAGCAGGGTTGCCGGATTTCGGAGATAGGGGACTCTGGGATGATTCAGAGCTGTCGACACGGTAGGACTGAGGCAGGGAGCTTGTATGCAACGGGGAAGGTGTGATATGTCGAGAACCAGGAGCAGGTCCAGGCCGTTGATCAGATCGAGCTAAATAGTCCCGCGGGATGAGGCCGTTGTTGACTGCGTAGCCGGACTGATTCTTAGAGGAAGTTGGCGAGCCTTCATCATTCCCTCGCGGAACTTGCGACATGGCTGTAAGAATCGAGACTCATCAGAGGGGTCACGTTCGGGGGGCGACACGAGGCGAAGGCCCAAGGGGCGAGAGCGCGGAACCCCGGAAGCTGGAGCTTAAGCGCCAGGGAGGAAAAAAGGGGTCTTATTAACCGATCAACCGATTGGAAAGAAAATAACGGCAAAATCACTCCCTGGTGGCACAGAGAATGAGTGTTGAGAGGGTGAGAGACCTCGGGAGCTTAAGAAAGTAAAGTGGGGGGAGAAAAGGGGGTTTCAAGCTAATACGAATAATAACAAACAATAGCAAATGAGATAATTATAAAAGAAATTGGATGGGAAAATCCCAGTGCGTTTGAAGAA